AGGATCAGACTACCTTAAAAGTACTCTTAAATTTGTGTTGTACACTTTTGTGATATAAATGTTTTGCTTTTGTATTTTGCAGAGAAAAGGTGAAACAGTCACAGTTTAAGATTGCTTCTTTGGAAGAGAGGGATAGCTCAGAAGATTCAGACTACTGGGCTAGCTATGCCAAGCTAGTAGACGACAAAAAGGAAAGGCTCTGGGATGCTCTCCTGGAGGGACTGGAAAAATATAGGTCAGTCTTAATGAAATATTTTAAGAAAATTGAGCCAAAATTCTATCCTCTCTGCACATATCACTCTACAGTAAGAATTACAGAAGGAGGTTTTTTTTTTATATAGTTTTGTGAAATTGTAACTGATGTGTAAATCAAGTAGATTCAGTATTAGTATTACATGAATTACAAATAGTCGCCATATCCCACCAATGAAAAAAATTGTTACATTTGTTCCTTAAAATATTTTACAAGGTTCTTTCTCCATTATTTCATTAAATTTTTTTATATCATCAATGTATGACTAATCACAATGAATGAAAAAAATATTGATTTTCAATACTTTGTTTTCCTGGTAATATATTTAAAGATGAGAATTGTTGTCCCAGCCCTTAATATTTTATTTATTATGCATAAATAAAGACACCAACATTCATTGTCACTCGTGCATTGCTGCAGAATGTTCATAGTCTGAGAAACTCATGGTAACCAGGCAACTCTTAAGGCCCATGGACCTCTCTAAATGATCTTTTTTTTTCAGTCAGTCATTTCTTAAGCTATATTTAGTTTTCCCTTAATGGCATGTCAAACATTTTCAGATCTTTTTGGGAAAATGTTTTCAGTTTCTGAATAAGATTTCTACAGCTAGAGTACATTTTCACAATTCTCTTTTATTCTTCAGTGAAATCTTAACATCCAGAGCAAGTCTTATAAATGAGACTGATGCACTCCGACAACAAAATGCAGAGCTGAGAATGCTACTTCACCAATATGTTAATTCTAAGGTAAAACATCTCCACAAAACAGCTGGGAACTGAAATCCTCATATTTTATGTTTTTGATATATTTCAAATCAAAATTAACATTATAATTAATCTAATGAAACATTGATTGCAGTTAAAATAAAATTCCTATTCTACTTCCAGGTGAATCAAGAATTGGAGATTCCACCAACAAGAGTTCTGCAGCTAGAAATGAATCCACGATAAAAATAAATTATTCTTGAGTCACAAACTATTTCAGAAAAAATCTATAATTCTTTTGATTCCAAATTCCTGATATATGATGAGGACTGTGTGATATTTCATACTAATTTTATGTATATTTTGTAAATAAAAGTTTTATCAAAAACCTTTTTTAACATTTATTTTCAAAGATTTTGTTAAAACTTGATATATATGCAAACAATTAGGATACATATTTCTGTTTATCACTTTTTGATTTGTACCAACTGTCTTGCAACAGTAACTAAAAATCAAAATTTCTATGAGAAATGCTACTTTGTAGCTCATCTGAACTGAATTTTTGAGTGGACTATGAATCAATATACAAACTTGCCACAAAGCAATAAAAGAGGCACACCTTCCCTCAAGGCAAATAGTGAAAATCATCTTTCTCAAGAACTGGTTCAGAAACAATGAAAGTGTATTACATAGTGTAGATTCAAGTTTGTTCCTATCAAGACCTCCAGGGGTAGAATGGTGCCACAGTAGGTGATCAAAGAGTTATATAGGAATATATAAGAATGAAAATGAAAATCTTCTTCTCAAGGACAACAAAGCTATGGTAAGAAATTCAGCCATGGTAATAATTTTTGAACAGGGCTTTTGCTTGTGCTTTCATATCTTATTTCATGTGACCTTTCATATATATGTAGTACCAAATTGTTTGACCTCATGACATTGACGTCTGAATCAGTAGACCTTCATTTGAAAAAAAAAAACGGTAACCTCAGTGTCTCAAATAACATTTGTTGGGACTAGATGTTGTTGCATATGACGAAGAGATATGATATACACGCACGTTTAGCAACTATGCCAGTCTGGACTATATACATATGTATGTAAAAATCTGCTGATGAAGAACAGGAGGGCCACAGTATAATCCAGTGAGCATTGAGGGCATTTAGGTGTCAAAGTTTTAATCCAGTTTCCTGAAACTTGGGACACAATTAAAAAAGATTTGGTCTTATTTCATTAGGAGTTTACACAAGTTGACAAATACACTTTTCTGTTCATAGTGTTTTTTTGAATATGTTCAATGTTGCACGGTTTACAAAGATGGAGTAAATAAATTCTTTCAACATGCTATGTTCTAGCTCCTCTGCTATGTTTGGTCTGAATCAAACAAAACCATGCAGGTATAAAAAATTGAGTGAACAAAAGATCAATTATTCACTGATGCTTCCTAGGTGACTAAGTTTAAAGTCCATGTGCTTTATTTCCAGAATAAAAGTAGACATCATTACAGCTACTAGAATCTTGAGAGAAATTTTTGTTAAAGTATTTGCATGTTTATGCAATCTTAAAAAATCTTACTTCTTTAATCACTGAAATGAAGAATTTGATTACTTTATAAAAGCATTATATTAATCTAAAATCTTAATGTTTTTAATCTTTCTTTATTTAAGTGCCCCCCCCTCTTTGAACTTAATATTTAGAGGGTGCTTGAGTTCCTCATTGACAACATTTAAACAGTCTTCAGAGATAAGGTCTTCATACAAACTTGGAAATTCCATGGGCACTAATTATGCTCCTTTATTAGCCAATAATGTGTTTTTACATCGTGTATGCTCCTATGAAACAGAATTTATTAAAAAACTTCTATATCTGAAAAAAATATAAGGATTTCGTTTTAGATGTTCAACCTCGAGGCACTTTTAGGATATCTGAACCTTGGACAGGAAGGATAACTCTTTAATTTATAATTTAATTCAAAAAAGGTCTCAAAATAAAGCTTGAAATTGAAATCTTTCCATGTTAGAAGTTTTATTTTATGTCTCTCAATGTGATTTAAGGCATTTAAAAAGTTCACTTGATATTTGTACCTCATAAAAGTAATCAAAAATTACTTTCATTGTATTTAATGAAAGTTTTTTTTAAATCTAGCCTTATTTGCCAGTCACACTATGTTTATTAGTTTGTAACGGGAAAGGCAAAAATGTATGGCTGGACTGGGAATTGAACCTGGGACTCCTGCATCTCTAGTCAGGTGCTCTACCAATTCAGCTATCCAGGCCAATATCCACGGCCCAAACCATTACATTCCTCCCTCCTTAAATGGTCTTCGCCCTCGAAGACACAACCCAGGTTCGAATCCTGGTCACGGCACCAAATCTGTAACAGGAAAGGCGAAAATGTATGGCTGGACCGGGAATCGAACCCAGGACACCTGCATCTCTAGTCAGGTGCTCTACCAACTGAGCTATCCAGGCCGATATCCACGGCCCAAACCATTACAAGTTAATATGAAATCAGGAGCAATTTGTGCTGTTTTCTTTGACAGGAAACACTTCATACACTATACATGTATATGCATTATAAAATGATAGTAGTGAATGACAGAAAGTAAAGTACTGAATAAGTATAAAAATCATGCAATTTTCTCCAAAAACCTGGATACGTATGATTTTTATTCCTAATTAAAAATGTATTTCTTGTTCAGTTTTCAATTAGCAAATTACAGAAGATTTTATTCACATTTTCTGAAAATTTATTAATGAGATTTTATTATTATTCCCCATATAATTTGGTTGACTTTAAAGATGAAGTGTTAGGTAACACTGTGGGTAAATACACATTACTTCGAAAATTCAGACATTTTTGTGAGCATTTTCAATTTCCCAATGCCTGATTTTCAGAACCTGTAAATCGCACTACATTAAGGATTTTTACCATTGAAGTCTTGAACCGACAGTTTCATAATATCTGTATGAAATGTAGAATGTTGACTTCAACCTACCTGAAAAATATGCTGAAATGCAAGACTGAAATTTTATGCCCTGTAATCAAAGATCTGGAAGCGCAAAATTTGATATCTTATACTAACCATTCCACTGCCTGTCTGTGCATCTACGGAAACTTGAACCTTGCCCATAACATTTGACTGATTGGAGCTATGACTTTCATATTTCACAGGTGTAATCCTTGTGACAAGATAGGTATTTCTGGTGACAAGACCTTTAATTGGGAAACTGATTGCATATTTGACCATCTTTGCAAAATGTTACCAAACTTTAACCTTACCCATAACGTTTAAATGGTTCGTGCTAGGGCATTCATACTTTACATGAAATATGCGGAGATAACAAACAATATTCGAACTCAAACATTACAAAATAGGAGCGGAGCAAACATAGACTCCAAAACATCAGAGGTGGGATCAAGTGGCATAGAAGAGTGAGCATCCCCTGCCGACCGGTTATACCCTCCGTGTGCTCCTTGTAATGTGTATTTCTTGTGATGAGACCTTTCCTTGGGATCAAATATTTTTGACATTTTGACCTTGAAGGTTGGCCAACTTTTGAAAAAATTAACCTTAGCCATAGCTTTGGAACAGGTAGTGCTAGGACTTTCATAATTAAGAGGCATATTACTTGCAACAATGCCACCTTTTGGGTACCAACAATTTTGATCCTTTGGCCTTGTAGTTTAGCATACTTTTGGAAAACTTTTACCTTGGCCCTACCTTTTGAACAGTTAGTTCTAGGGCTTTCGTATTTCACTGCTGTTCTTTGTTAAAAAAAAAAAAAAAAAAAAAAACCTAGGTCACTACTGATTTAAACCTTTAACCTTGACTTTAGAGATTGACCTACTTTTGAAAATAAACTATAGCTTTGGCCTTCTAAATGGTTCCTGCTATGGGCTTTTATTCCACATGTGCTTTCCTTGTTACAATACTGTTCCGGAGGTACCATTATTTTTTTTATCCCTTGATCTTATATTTGGTAAACTTATATTAAACCTTTGCCAATTGCATATTGTAAATATGGTCAGATAAAAGTAAAATAATGAATATGCCATTTTTCATACTTATTTATTTCCCATATTTATGTTCATTATAAGTGACCATTTAAATGTATATTAGATAATAGTTCAATTTACAATATGGCATTTGTTATCAGATAATTATAAGTGTATTGCACGTATAACAACAAAAACTACAGTACATTTGGACATATTAAACAGCGATGTACATTTTGTCAGAAAATTATTAGAGGTCATCAGGTCCCATAACTCCCTCAATATATACATCTTTATCTTGAATAAAGTCATCAAATGTGGAACCTCTATTACATGGTGGACTTTTATTCTTATATTCAGTGGAATCTGTAAGAAAATATCAGACCCATTAATATTCAATGATCAACAGAATATTATATTCCAGCTGTTACTGGTAATACTTCACTTGCGGTTAAATTTCTCGAACCTGTAGTAAAGGCTTCAGAGGCAGACAGCTGGGTATCGTGTACTGCAAGTCCAGCCACCAGATTTATAAATATCCTGATAAAATACAAGTACCATCATCCAAATCCCTAGTCAGTCTACATCTAGCTCACAATAAAAATTGAGCATGTAAAAATTCTGTTCATATGGTTTTATTGGCATATATCAAATTAAATTCATACCTGCATCATTCCTTATAGAGTGATTTAATTGGTCCATTATTTTGCACATTTTTAACTACATGTTTATATAAGTAACAGTTGTTGATTTAATTTTTAAAAATGTATTACTTACATGCAGTTGTTCATTTAGTTTGTATAAATGTATCATGAACAGTTGATAATTGAGTTCGTATACATATATCACTAATCATTTGTTAATTTTAGTTTCCATGCTAAAAAGCTGGTATTCTTTCAGGGTTACTTTCTGACTTATCGCTTAGCGAAATATGCATGCTGATAGAATGATCAAATTAACAAACTTTCAAAGACTTATCACAGAGAAAACAAATAAAAATGGAAATATATCTTTATCAACTATATATTTGACATATTCCTAGGTAATTTACTTACCACATGGCAAAGTTTGCTGTGTAGAAATCACTGAATGTAAAGTATGATAAGAGAGATGCTAATATCTGAAATAAAAATGTTACAATTTTCTTTATGTAAAATGATTCATGTTGACTTCAAGTGTTGCAATGTATATGTATATTTTCTATGTTGTCATCTTACAACTAGAGTGACTGAGTGTACACATGCATTTCAAAAAATTTATTCTTTAAACTGAATATGAATGAAATAAATAAAATGCAGATACATTCCTTACCTTGGAAAACCCTTGAACTTTGGCAAAGTCTGTTTGTCCTATTTTTTTCTCTTGTAGATTTATGGAATGAAGAATTAACAAAACCCCAAATACACCACTGAAAAATTAATATTTATATACTAAAATGCAAAAGAAAAGCAGTAATCTACAAGGACTTTCTGTCCATGGACCGTCATTTTAAAATGCTTGATATGTAAGAGCCTGCCGAGGTGTAATGAAGTGAATTTTTGCATCTGCATCTCTCCATCAGGGTCACCTTTCTCTTGAGATTTTCCAGTTTGAGCAATGGAAATGAAGACTGCAGTCATTTTCAGGAAGCCTTCTCATCACTTCAGGAAACAGAAGGAGAATTTATTTCTCGGAATATTGCTATATTACTTATAATGAACAGTTACAACCCTTACAACCCTATATTATTGCCAAATGTTTTGTTAGAGAGGTAATTTTTTATTTCTGCTAAGGGGACTCAAACTTAACTTCTAGCTGGTAATGGTATGAAAATTGTTCAACCACTAAATAATTGTTATTTACAAAGTTGAAGATATCCATACTGTTTAGATACAAAATTCTATCCTATGCATGTATATTTCCCCTTAAAATAGATACATAAGTTTTAGATTAGATATTTATCAAGAACACTATTTCAAGTACTGTAGATCCAAAAAATTTGCAACACCTTATTTTTGAAAAACTACCATTTATAAGCAGAATTTTTAGCAAGGATTTATTTTTGGCATTATTAGTGAGGGTGCTGAGATTGCTAAATTTGAATGTAGCTAAAAATTAATTTTGTTTTAGTTGTAATAGCCTCTGTACTGAGCATTTTAAAATCACTAAAATAACTTCATGCTAAAAATAAACTAGAGATTTTTAAGGACAAATCACTAAATTTTGGTCTCACTAAAATTTCTACTTATACAGTATTTAGTATAAATGAGACAAAAAATTCACAATAATTGTTTTCTAAAGTACATATATTAATTATTTTAAAAGAAATAAAACTTTTGTGAGCAGACAGACACTCGTAATTACACAGTCTTAAGATATTGATATGTCTCTTGAAATATGTTATAAAGTAAATATACCTCAATATACATCCTAGCCAAAATTTGGAAAAATACAGGTAAGGAAATTTAGCTGCCTCCAGCGCATCTCCTGTAAATAATATACATGTAATATGTAAAATAATATCCTTTGAGGATTTTTCATGAACATATCCCCATTCAAATATTGTAAAATCACATATTTTCGTGGGGTCAAATTTTCATGGTTTGATGAAAAAAGATTGATTTTTGGGGATTTGATTTCATGGATGAAGATCTGCTTAGTAGTTCTGTATATGAAATTTAACATTTCGTGGTGGACATGAATTTGTGGGTCTCTTCGTACCTCAAAAACAATGAAAAATTAAATCTCCACAAAAATTTGTGATTTCACAGTATACAAGAGTCCGTCACAACTGATGCAAATTTGGGTGTTTTACTGACTGTAATCATTAATGGCATATCAAGACAGAGATGAAAGCATTGGGCTTTCCATTATCAACTGCTATTTATGCCAAATATGGGTCCATGTCTCTCAGCTGATTCAGTATGCAAGAGTCTGTCCCCAGTAAGCATGTCTAGTACTAGGCACCAATATAACTTTTGGTCCAGCTAGGGCTTATACATGCAGTTACTTGGGAACTAACCTGCCCCCAAATATTTCATTGATTCAAGGTTAGTTTATATTTACTGATATGAATGGACTTGCCCCAAAACTTTAATCTGGTCATTTATCTGGAAACTCTAGGGTAAGATCCAACATCTGAGGCACATCTATAGTACCCCCGGTACTGTGCATCTGCAGATAAATCATTCATATGCAAGTCTGATTACAAAAGAACTTAAAATTACTTGGGAATGGGGCTGCTCCTAAACCCTTCATCTGGTCACTCATCCATAAAATAAAGTCTTAGTCAGATCCAGCATCCAAATCAAGTCTGGTAGTGTTCATCCCTAGATGCATCATCCATGTGATTAAAGAATACACTGGACATGGAGTGATAATTCAGGGTATAAGTTGAACATAATGCACCTTGATTACATACCTGGTACTTTTTGAACAATTTATCAAACTCTTACCTATTAAATAACTTGATGGTGCAAACAAAATTATGCTGTAAATAAAGAATAATATTTCAATTCCCTATTTAATAACAAATTAAAAAAAAACAAGAGGCCCATGGGCCACATCGCTCACCTGAGAAGCTTTGACCATTCTGTTCTTTACCAGATTTCCCCCTTGTTATACATAATGCATCCCCACCCTACCCCACTGATCATAATTTAGACATTTTGAAATCGACACTACCCCATGATCCTTCCATGGGCACATATGTTTCAGCTTTTTTGGCCCAGTGGTTCCTGAGAAGAAGATTTTCAAAGATTTTTCCTATATATTTCTATGTAAAACTTTGATTCCCTATAATGGCCCCGCCCTTCCCCCGGGGGTCATGATTCCTACAATTTAGAATTTACACTACCCGAGAATGCTTCCGCATAAGCTTCACTTTTTCTGGCCCAGTGGTTCTTGAGAAGAAGATTTTCAAAGATTTTTCCTATATATTTCTATGTAAAACTTTGATTCCCCATTGTGGCCCCACCCTTCCCCCGTGGGGTCATGATGTGAACAATTTAGAATGTACACTATATCAGGATGCTTCCACATAAGTTTCAACTTTTCTGGCCCAGTGGTTCTTGAGAAGATGATTTTCAAAGATTTTTCCTATATATTTCTATATCAAACTTTGATTCCCCATTGTGGCCCCGCCCTTCCCCCGGGGGTCATGATTTGAACAATTTAGAATCTACACTACCCCAAGATGCTTCCACATAAGTTTCAGCTTTACTGGCTCAGTGGTTCTTGAGAAGAAGATTTTTTAATGACCCAACCCTATTTTTGTCTTTTCTTGATTATCTCCCCTTGCGAGGGGATATGTCCCTTCATTTTAACAATTTAAATTCCCCTTCACCCAAGGATGCTTTGTACCAAGTTTGGTCAAAATTGGCCCAGTGGTTCTTGAGAAGAAGTCGAAAATGTGAAAAGTTTACGGACGGACAGACGGACGGACGGACGGACGACCGACACAATGTGATCAGAAAAGCTCACTTGAGCCTTCGGCTCAGGTGAGCTAAAAACAAGAACTGGAAATACAAAAAAATATACATTGAATACACTGAAGATTTAATTCTGGAAAATTAAATTGGCACTTTGATATGATACTTTGCTGCTTACAAGAAGCATTTATTTCTTTCAGCAAAATATCAGTAAATATACCTACATTTTTTTCTTTTCTTTCCAGTATATGTAACTACAGTTAAACGAGTCTACTCCATATAAATGACTTTGCAAGTACAGTGTAAATGAAACTATAGTATGAACTCTACTCTGCATATGTCTCTTACCAGTACAATGTAGTTGTAACCATTACGAAGGTTGATCCAAAAGTTCATGGAATTTCTTTCTAAAATGTTATCGTGATTTGATAAAAGCAAATAATAGGCATATTTATAATATAGAGTCATAATGCAACAATAATGGAAAATTTCACTACGTTCCAATTACCAATAAAGTCACACGAGCTTTCTGAAAATGGATAGTTGTGAAACCCGGGGGAGACTTCGACGTAACACTGTGTTAGGTATGCCACGTCACGTTATAGAAGCATCTCATGCTAATGTCCAATTCGAACACGTTATTCTATAAAATGCTGCCTTTTTCTCCATTTTTTTTTCTCAAAAAAAGCCTTGGTATTCTCTCGCACCAACTTATCTTCATTTTTCACTCATATTTCAAAATAATCCCCATCTTTCTATATGATATTCCGATTTCAGTAGCAATGTCAACAAGAGGCCCATGGGCCACATCGCTCACCTGAGTAACTTGGGTGAAGCAGATCTTTAGCAAATTTCCCCTCTTGCTATACCTATCCTGCCCCCTCCATACCCCCTCCCCTTACATGATTTTAATACTTTATAATTACAATACCCAAGGATGCTTCCACATAAGTTTCAGCTTTCCTGGCCCAGTGGTTCTTGAGAAGAAGATTTTTAAAGATTTGTTCTATAGATTTCTATGTAAAACTTGGATTCCCTATTGTAGCCCCCCCCCCCCCCTGCCCCAGGGGTCATGATTTTTAAAATTTAATATCTATACTACCCAAGGATGCTTCCACATAAGTTTCAGCTTTCCTGGCCCAGTGGTTCTTGAGGAGAAGATTTTTAAAGATTATTTCTATATATTTCTATGTAAAACTTGATTCCCTATTGTGGCCCCGCCCTACCCCAAGGGGTCAAGCTTTTAACAATTTAATATCTAAACTACCCAAGGATGCTTCCACATAAGTTTCAACTTTCCTGGCTCAGTGGTTCTTGAGAAGAAGATTTTTAAAGATTTGTTCTATATATTTCTATGTAAAACTTGGATTCCCTATTGTAGCCCCGCCCTACCCCCGGGGGTCATGACTTTTACAATTTAATATTTACACTACCCAAGGATGCTTCCACATAAGTTTCAGCTTTCCTGGCCCGGTGGTTCTTGAGAAGAAGATTTTTAAAGATTATTTCTATATATTTCTATGTAAAACTTAGATTCCCTATTGTAGCCCCACCCTACCCCCAGGGTTCATGATTTTAACAATTTAATATCTACACTACCCAAGGATGCTTCCATATACGTTTCAGCTTTCTTGGCCCAGTGGTTCTTGAGAAGAAGATTTTTTAATGACCCCACCCTATTTTTGTATTTTCTTGATTATCTTCCCTTGGAAGGGGACTTGACCCCTCATTTTAACAATTTAAACTCCCATTCACCCACGGATGCTTTGTACCAAGTTCGGTTAAATTTGGTCCATTGGTTCTTGAGAAGAAGTCGAAAATGTGAAAAGTTTACAGACGGACGGACAGACGGACGACGGACAAAATGTGATCAGAAAAGCTCACTTGAGCCTTCGGCTCAGGTGAGCTAAAAACAGTACGTCAGCTGACAACGTCTATTAATGCTTTCAATTTGTCTAGAGGGATAAACAATGAAAACAGAGCCTCCAAAAGGCGGCCACAACTTTAATCATTGTCCATGGAAGTTCTATTTTTATAAAATTTCTTGCGCCACTTGAAAACCAGTAACTTAAATTAAATGCATTTTCCCCAGTCTATGTCAATAGTATACACATTTAAGATAAAATGATCCCGGGATATTCACAAAACTTATGACTTGACCGAAATTTGACATCGTCTAACAATCGAAAGATGAACAATAATTTTCAACTAATAAACTAGATATCTAGTAAAATCGGTAAAACTCTCACACAAAGGTTTATAAAAGATCAAGCAATCATAATAATGATGTAATTTTTGTTTTCTATAACACATAGGGCAGTTTTATTCTCATTTCAAGTATAATGAATCAAAATGATAATAAACGCGATGTTGTCTCCCCTGCATTTCCAAACATCTGTTTCTATGGTAACTGCCATAGAGTTACTATCACAAATATGTAAAATATTTTCTATTTTAAAATATTCAACAAGTGTCTATATTCTTATTTGTAATTTTCAACCAATTTCACTTATAAATAAATAAAATATGCAGAAATTCCACGAACTTTTTGATCAACCCTCCTATATTTTCAACATTCCACATTTAATTTTTAACAGTAAATGATTAACAACAACATGTTTAAATTTCTGTATAATCTTACCATGCATAATCAAAATTTTAACAGTAGATGTAATTTTAATTCCATTCTGCTCTCATTTCAATTGTAATAAATTATATTAACTTAATACATGTACCCTATGAAATTCTTATCAGTTAAATGAGTTAATGTAAATACAGTGTATTAAATTCATTTTACATCCATTACTTACCAGTAGATGTAATTACAGTACAACTTCTCTACTGAGCTGCAACAAAAGCAATAAGAATTAGTCTAGAAATACATTACACTAAACCTTTGGCAAACTATTAAAAATTCAATTTGCACTCCCAATTATTATAGGACAACAGCTTCTTAAATGGTCTCTAGGTCTCATATAGTTACTTCAAAGACATTTTAAAAAAACAAAAACAAAATGTGTTTGGAAAAACCCTGATGACCCTGTATGGCAGCCTTTGGCAAAGGTTGAAGTTTCTCAAAGGCAAGTCAAACTCCAAGGTCAAATGGTCAAAACTGTTGGAATCCAAAGGGAAGTCTTGACATAAGGAATAAACATGTGAAATATGAAAGCCAAAATACATGTACTAACTGTTCAAAAGTTATTGCCAAGGTTAAAGTCTTTAGAAAGTGGGTCAAACTCTTAGGTCAAGGTCAAAAGGAAAATTTTTTTTTATACTTATTGAAAAGTCTTGTCACAATGCACACACATATCTATTTTACTGAATATAATATACAGTAAAACTTGTCCATTTCACTGGTTCTATAGAAATCGGACAGATTGGGTAGATAATGAATTAAATAATGAGTTTACTGAAAGGGACTTAAAACTTACATCCTTTATATAGACAAGATTTTGGAATACAATACATTCTGATTTGCCAATTATAAGTTTTAATGTGTTCATATACATGCATTCTCAAATTGATCCCTGGTAAGAGTATAACAAATTAAGACAAGAGGCCCATGGGCCTTATACGAGGGGTGATCAAAAAGTTCGCAAACTAATTGAATAACTTCTATACAAGAAACAATATTTGGTTTTAATGTTGATTATATTTTAAATTAATCCTCCCCAATTTTAATGCACATCAACCACCGTTCTGCGCATGCGCGAATCACGTGATATTGGCGGTCACGTGACCCCCTCCGTAGCGTTCTGTCACAAAAGTTAAAAGATTTTTCCGAGTTTTATGTTTCTTTCCATGTGAATTAATTTTTATGACAAGAACAGTTAATTTGTCAGAAATGGTCATATCTCGGCAACAGAATGGGTGGATAATAACATCTTTTCCAAAAATAAGCATGGCGACCATTAAAACACAAATCTTCTGTCTCAGGAGAGACCTTTATTCAAGGTGGATAGAGAATGGGTGCATCCTTTTTATCATATCTAATATGTTAAAAATCTAAAGTAAACGATATCTTAGGTATTTTTTAAAATACTTATATCATTGTTCAAATATTCAACTATTTTTCAAAGTGCTAATTGGAGGTCTTTGATAGCAAATTGCTTAATTAACAAGAGGCCCACGGGCCTTATAGGTCACCTGAGCATTATGCAACAACATTCCAGTTACAGTGTATTGAATTTGATTCAATAACATGTTTTAAGCCAGATGCTATATGGCATTCACAATTTTGAAAGAGCACCATTGATCATCATAACAATAAACTTAGCAGTCGCTTAGCTTGGTTACTGAATACCCATATGCAGGGTAGGGGAACAAAAATGCACTCCAACTAATCAGTAATATTCATCAATAATCAGTATTGCCCTTAACACTCTGACATAAACCCATGAACCTAGGTTGCACAAATTTAAAAGGCACCCTTAAAATTGCCTATCAAAAAGTAAATAAATGTTTTATAAATTCAAAAGACCAGATTTCAAACAGTTAATTCATTTCCAATATATATTAAGTAGAGCCCCCCACCCCTGACCCTGGGGCCTTGAAATTCACAATTCTGCAAGATTAGGGCCCTTGCTCATCATAACTATATAGGTAGTTCATCTACTTCATACCCAGAGACAGAGAAGAAAATTTTCAAAGATTTAATGTATTTTCACTATATAATCAATAGAGCCCCACCCTAACACCAGAACCCCTGACCCTGGGGTCATAAAATTCACAATTTTTGTAGAGGCACTCTTGCTCATCATAACTTTGCATTTAGTTGGTTTATTTAATACCTAGGAGCAGAGAAGATTTTCAAAGAATTCATGTAATTTCACTATATAATCAATAGAGCCCCCCTCCCCCAACACCAGAACCCTTGATGATAGGGCCATTAAATTCACAATTTTGGTTGAGGCACACTTGCTCATCATAACTATGCACTTAGTTAGTTTATATAATACCTAGGAGCAGAGAAGAAGATTTTCAAGGAATTCACATATTTTTACTATATAATCAATAGAGCCCCCCCCCCCCCCCAAACCAGAACCCTTGACCCTGGGGCCATAAAATTCACAATCTTAGTTGAGGAACACTTGCTTATCATCATTATGTACTTAGTTAGTTTATTTGATACCTAGGAGTTGAGAAGAAGATTTTCAAAGAATTCATGTAATTTCACTATATAATCAATAGAGCCCCCCCCCCCCAACACCAGAACCCTTGACCCTGGGGCCATAAAATTCACAATTTTTGTAGAGGCACTCTTGCTCATCATAACTATGCACTTAGTTAGTTTATTTAATACCTAGGAGCAGCGAAAAAGATTTTCAAAGAATTCATGTTATTTCACAATATAATCAATAGAGCCCCCCCCCCCCCCCAACACCAGAACCCTTGACCCTGGGGCCATAAAATTCACAATTTTGGTAGAGGCACTCATTCTCATCATAACTTTGCACTTAGTTAGTTTGTTTAATACCTAGAAGCAGAGAAGAAGATTTTCAAAGAATTCATGTACATGTAATTCCACTATATAATCTATAGACCCCCCCCCAACACCAGAACCCTTGACCCTGGGGCCATAAAATTCACAATTTTGGTAGAGGCACTCTTGCTCATCATAACTTTTTACTTACTTGGTTTATTTGATACCCAGGGGCAGAGAAGAAGATTTTCAAAGAAATCATGTATTTTTACTATATAATCAATAGAGCCCCACCCTAACACCAGAACCCCTGACCCTGGGGCCATAAAATTCACAAATTTGGTAGAGGCACTCTTACTCATCATAACTATGTACTTAGTTTGTTTATTTAATACTCAGGAGCAGAGAAGAAGATTTTCAAAGAAATAATGCATTTTCACTACATACTTATTTAGCCCCGCCCTAGCACTAGAACCCCTGACCCCAGGGCCATGAATTTCACAATTTTGGTAGAGGACTCAATCCTGATTACAATCATGCAAACAGTTTGACTGCTTGATGTCCAGGAGTATCCTAAGAAGAAGATTTTTAAAGATTGCATTAATTTTAGTGGTTTTGGCCCCACCCCTCAGGCCCCAGGGGGGCAGGGACCATGAAATTCACAATTTTTGTTCCCCTTCACCCATAGATGCTTTGTGCCAAATTTGGTCGAAATTGGTGCAGTGGTTGCAGAGAAGAAGCTGAAAATGTTCAAATGTTAACGCACGACACACGACACACGCCACACGACGACGGACGAAAACGGATAGCAATAGGTCACCTGAGTTTACTCAGGTGACCTAAAAATACATATCTTTTCAAACTTGCTTTCACTGGGCAAGATGACAAGTATCATTTTTAACCATCAGCCTTCCTTCACTAAAACGATTAATCCAATCATTAATTAAATTTATAGGAACTCATTTATCTCAATAAGCTGTGTACAAATTATTATATGATACTGTAGAGGGATTTCTAAGATATTACAATAAATTGTACAGTCGTTTGTTGAATGAGTTCTACTGAGACAACCATTTTTCGTCACAAGTGACCTAAATAGTGACGTCATTTTCACATTGTGACGTCACAAACAAGGAGAGAAACTTTATTCAGCATATGCTATTTATAGACCTTGTGTATGGCTATGTGTGTACCGAATTTCATTCTAATCTGAATTGTGGTTTTGTAGATATAGAGATAGTTTGCGAACTTTTTGATCACCCCTTGTAGGTCACCTGAGTATTATGTAACAACTTTCCAACAATTGAATTTGGTTCATATTGTAAAACAGAGGCCATGAAATTCACAATTTTGAAAGGGGCACCACTGCTTATCATAATTATACACTAAGCATGCTTACTCTGGTTACTTAATACCCAGAGATAGATCAGAGCAACAGAAAACACATTTCCACTTTATAACCAGTTGTGCACCCGAACCAACAGGAACCACTGACCCTGGGGCCACACATTTCAAAATACTGGAAATTTTATCATAAATTTTATTATATCATCAATGGCTGATTAATACAAAAGAGCAGATTTCAAAGCATTTATTTATTTTCAGACTTTGTAACCCCCTCTCCCTCAGTATGCATGACCCAAGGGGCCCTGAAATAAACCATTTTGGAAGAGGAACCTTTTTTCATCATAAAAATGTACTTAAATCATTGGCATAATACCCAGGAGCAAAGGAAAATATTTTCAAAGAATTCATGCCTTTTCACTATAATCATAATCATTAGAGCCCCGCCCTAACACTAGAACTCCTGACCCAGGGGCCATGAAATTCACGAATTTGGAAGAGGCAGCCTTCCTCATCATATCTATATACATAAGTCATTGGTTTAATACCCAGGAGAGAAAAGATTTTTTTAAAAATTATTCATTTTCATCAATATAGCCCACCCTAACACCAGAACCCCCACCACCATGGGCCATAAAATTAACAATTTTGGAAGAGGCAGTCTTGTTTAACATAAGTATTTACTTAGATAGTTTGTTTAATACCAAAGAGCAGAGAAGAGGATTTTCAAAGAAAGGAATTTTCACTATATAATCTATATAGTCCAGCCCTAACCCCTGACCCTGGGGTCATGAAATTCACAACTTTGGACGTGGCAGCTATATCTAAGATAAGTATATACTTGGTTAGTTTATTCAATGCCCAGGAGCAGAGAAGAAGATTTTCAAAGAAATCATGCATTTTCACTATATAATCTATTTAGCTCCACCCTAACACTAGAACCTCTGACCCTGGGGTCATGAATTTCACAATTTTGGTAGAAGACTCAATGCTGATTACAATCATGCCAACAGTTTGACTGCTTGATGTCCAGGAGTAAAGAAAAAGATTTTTAAACATTGCATTAATTTTAGTGGTTTTATCACCATATTTCAGGCCCCAGGGGGGCAGGGACCATGAAATTCATAAATTTTGTTCCTCTTAGATGCTTTATGCCAAAATTGGTTGAAATTCGTTGAACGGTTGCAGAGAAAAAGCTGAAAATGTTCAAATATCAACATACAACACATGATGATGGACAAAAACAGATAGCAATAGGTAACCTGAGTTTACCCAGGTGACCTAAAAATCAGTAATGCTCCAATGTTGAACCCTGGTGTACATCAATTCTGCTTTACCTAGATTTCAATCGCCCTTTCATCAATTTTGTATAAATCTGTAAGCCTCCTACAGAAAAAAAGATTTCATCATATTAAAGTTTTGACAAAGTAAAATTTCCAGAAGTGGTGATAGAAAAAACTATAAAATAACTTTCTCATAGACCTTTTAACATTTTAAGCAGAAATCAGCAAGAATAAAGTGCTTTTAGCATGTTTTACTGCATGTAACAAAAATAACTTTTATACCAGTAAGTAGTTATTTTCCTCATACATGTATAACTCATTACTTCTTTGTATATGTAACTATAAACTTATTTTGATAATTCATTTTTACCTGTAAAAATTATATGAAGTCCAATCCAGATATATCCTTCTTGACTAAACTGAAAAAAAAATCCAATCATTTAATACAAGATATTTATTACTGTTTGTTTTTTTTGTATATATATAGTGATTAGGTAAAATCAAAAACAGTATGTTACCGGCCCCTGTGCAGTTAACCAGGTAAATATCCAATGATGGGAGTACATATATTGCTTAGTAAAACTGCTATTTGGTTACTCATACATATAAAATTTATATCTCTATATGTTAAAATCAGAAGGTAAAAATATAATTTTATTCATAAAAATCCATATTTAATTTACCGTTATTTAAGGAATATCTGTTTTATTTTTCAATTTCATGATGTGATCAATTGATTGGCTTGCGTGATAATTTGCATAAATGCCAAAGGCGTTTATGCATAAAATTATCAAGCAAGCCAATCGATTGATCATCGTCATGAAATTGAACAAGAGGCCCATGAGCATCATGCAACAACTTTCCAATGATTGAGTTTGGTTCATGTTTTAAACTAGACACCATGGCATTCAAAATTTTGAAAAAGAAACCATTACTCATCATAACTATACACTTAGATTTAACGTATTTCCACTATAATCAATAGAGCCCCGCCCTAACACAAGAAACCTTGACCCTGGGGCCATAAAATTCACAATTTTGAAAGAGGCATTCTTGCTCATCATAACTATGTACTTAGTTAGTTTATTTAATACCCAGGAGCAGAGAAGATTTTCAAAGAATTAATGCATTTTCACTATATATAATCAATAGAGCCCCGCCCGAACACCAGGAACCCTGACCCTGGGGCCATAAAATTCAAAACTTTGAAAGAGGCATTCTTGCTCATCATAACTATATACTTAGTTAGGTTATTTAATACCCAGAAGCAGAGAAGAAGATTTTCAAAGAATTAATGTATTTTCACTATATACTCAATAGAGCCCTATCCTAACACAAGAACCCTTGACCCTGGGGCCATAAAATTCACAATTTTGGAAGAGGTTTCTTGCTCATCATAACTATGTGCTTAGTTAATTTATTTAATACCCAGGAGCAGAGAAGAAGATTTTCAAAGAATTAATGTATTTTCACTATATAAATCAACAGAGCCCCGCCCTAACACCAGAACCCCTGACCCTGGGGCCATAAAAAATCACAACTTTGAAAGAGGCATAATATATACTTAGTTAATTCATTTAATACCCAGGAGCAGAGAAGATTTTCAAAGAATTAATGTATTTTCACTATATAATCAATAGAGCCCCGCCCTAACACCAGAACCCCTGACCCTGGGGCTATAAAATTCACAATTTTGGAAGAGGCAATCTTGCTTATCATAACTATATACTTAGTTAGTTTATTTAATACTCAGGAACAGAGAAGAAGACTTTCAAAGAAATAATGCACTTTTACTATATGATCTATATAGCCCCACCCTAACCCCAGAACCCCTGACCCAGGGGCCATGAATTTCACAATTTTGGTAGAAGACTCAATTTTGATTATCATCATGCCAACAGTTTGACTGCTAGATGTCCAGGAGTAAAGGAGAAGATTTTTAAAGATTGCATTAATTTTGGTGGTTTTGGCCCCACCCCTCAGGCCCCAGGGGGGCAGGGCCATCAATTTCACAATTTTTGTTCCCCTTTACCCATAGATGCTGTATACCAAATTTGGTTGAAATTGGCTTAGCAGTTCTAGAGAAGAAGCTGAAAATGTTCAAAAGTTTACCACCGATTGAAGACGAACGACATACGACGGATGAAAACAGATAGCAATAGGTCACCTGAGTGACTCAGGTGACCTAAAAATCTGACAGTTATTCCTTATATTTACATGCTTTGATTCTGCCAATCCACGTGCTCCAAGCCCTGCTTCTGTCTAGCTATTTGTCCCGCCCAGCATGTGATTTCTTTAACCGCGCCAATACATTGATGGGGAAATAAAGTACATTTACATTTCGTAATTTTATCTTGTACGTACAAAGACAATGGAAATGTAAATATTTAACTATAATTCAATTCTGGTTGTAACACTGTGTTTGATTGGATAAAAAATTTACTTTATATCGTATAAAATGGGTTGCCTATGTCACAATGACTTTTATCGAAAACGTATCGATCTGCCTGACGTTACATTCAAATTTTGTACAAATATTGAAGTCATTTTGTTAGAACAGTCATCTCTTTTTCTTACATCAAATGAATGAAAATTAAATTATAAGCAATGAATTTAATAGCTACCCATTTTATACGGTATAAACTGGGTTGGAACAGTTTATGCTTTAAGCGTAAACTGCCCCAACCCAGTTTATACCGTATAAAATGGGTAGCTATTAAATTCATTCCTTAAATAAACTTGACTTAGCATTTTACAAATATGGCCGATTTGTTTTGATAAGTATTTCACAAATTATCTAATTGGAGGCTTTGATTGCCAATGGATATACAAGTTATGAATTGAATTAATCATAATTACCTTTTTATAATAAATGTGTGCTAGTCCAAAGTACTAGTTTAAGAGGCAGCCGCTGTATGCATGAAAATAATCTAAAATGAGTTACTAAACTTCAAAATAAAGGTGTGAAGTGTTTGAAATATCAGTTTAATATCTAGCTGTGTGTCAGTTTGATTTTTACCTGTGGGTCAGTTTGATAATAACCTGGGGGTTAATTTGATATTTACCTGTGTGTCAGTTTGTTATTTACCTGTGTGTCAGTGCGATATTTACCTGTGGGTCAGTTTGATATTTACCTGTGGGTCAATTTGATATTTACCTGTGTGTCAGTTTGTTATTAACTTGTATGTCAGTTTGATATTTACCTGTGCATCAGTTTGATATTTACCTGTGGTTCAGTTTGATATTTACCAGTGGGTCAGTTTGATATTTACCAGTGGGTCAGTTTGATGTTTACCTGTGGGTCAGTATGATACTTACCAGTGGGTCAGTTTGATATTTACCAGTGGGTCAGTTTGACGTTTACCTATGGGTCAGTATGATACTTACCTGTGGGTCAGTTTGATATTTACCTGTGGGTCAGTTTAATATTTACCTGTGGGTTAATTTGATATTTACCTGTGGGTCATTGTGATATTTACCTGTGGGTATGATATTTACCTGTGTGTCAGTGTGATATTTACCTGTCGGTCGGTTTGATATTTACCTGTGGGTCAGTGTGACATTTACTTGTGGGTCAGTGTGATATTTACCTGTGGGTCAGTTTGATATTTACTGGTGGGTCAATTTGATATTTACCTGTGGGTCAGTGTGGATGATGATAATGGATGATATCACTGTCAGCATCATCATACAGTAGGTAAAGAAACTTGTCAACTGTCAATTAAATCAAAGAGGAGTTTAAAGAACAAGATGAGTGTTAGATTATCAAGCTTAATTAAATTTAAGATTTATTGCAACAAAAAATAATCAAAAATAAAACAGGTAATGAAATATGAAGGAGCACATATTGAAATTTTTTTATGGAAAAAAAAAACAAACAAACAAACAAAAAAACAAAAAACAAAGACTCACACCAATTGAGTAAGTTCAAAACACCAAATGAGAAGGTTCAAAATATAGACATTTCATTAAAAAAAAAAAAACAAGAGGCCCATGGACCACATTGATAACCTGAGCAACTCTGCTAAAGAAACAAATCTAACTTCAGAACTGAATTTTCAAAAAAAATATATAAATATTCTGTACATACATGCTCCTGCATGGTCAGAGAAAGGGACAGGATTTGAGCAAACTTGAATCTATATCAACTAACTGAGGATGCTTCAATCTACATTTACGTGTAAATATAACTAATTATGGCTTTAAAAGATTTTTCTTTTTTTTTCTTATACATTCCTATGTTAAAATTTCATCCACCAGTCCTGCCTGCCCGACCCCCAAGGGTAACGTTTTTAACAAAACTGAAACAACACTGCCTGACAATGCTCATGTATTGATATAAATAACAATGGCTAAGTGTTGAGAGGATAATTTTCAAAGATATTTCTTCTATAATCCTTTGCACTACTTCTTTTTTATCTTTTAATATCCCCAGGGGAGGAGGGGGGCATGATTTGAACAACTTAAAAACTTTATGGTTTACGGACAACAGGTGGATGCCAGACACCCTTTGATCAGAAAAAAAAAATTAACTAGGCCTTTGACACATGTGAGCTAAAAATACAAACAGATGGTCAGTCAAAGGAAACCTTAATATCACATAAGTTCTGGTCTCAGACCAGAAGAGCTAAGCAAGGACCTGCTACAAGACTTGAACCTTCTCATCAAAGCAATTTTAGTAGGTGTGAATTCAGAAATTGATAAGATTTGCACGTTTTGTTTAGGTATGGCTTACAATTACTAGGGAATGGACGGACTAAAATACTATCCTACTTTGTTGAGGGAAGTTAAGAAATCTTAAGAGGCTCTAAGCACTGGGGAAATTATAAGATGATTTAAAGAAAACAAGAGGTACCATGAACAAACAACATAAAACATATCAAAATAACCCTACCCCATATGAAAATAAAATTGTTTTAAAGATATAAACACTATATACACTTCTAATTTTAATATGCAGGAAAAAAACTTAAAAGAGATTTGAGGTACATATTGTGTAATTAAAAAAAATATTTCCACAAGATTAATTGTTGTTAAATGACAGGGATAGGTCAAAATTTAAAAAAAATTTCCAACATGTCTAACATGGCAGGTAATCTTTACTGTAAAATGTACCATTTTGATGGAATAAGAACTCTACAGTGTTTAGAACCTCCTCCTTTTTTAAATGCTGCACATGAATTACCAAAAACTCTGACGACACAGAACATCTATATAAATCCAGAGCATGTGATTACCAGCAGATATATCGAAATCATATGTCTCATATCTTTTTTTAGTGATAAATATAGATAATCATTTTTAAAACAATTTAATCACACACCCTGGATATATTTCTTTAGCCGATTATCTTTACCTCAAAATACATTAATGGCCTATTGTACACAATAAGCTATATTTTAAAGAAAAAGAAACAGAAAGAAAACATAAATATGAAGGGGGTAAATAAAGTTGTTCAAATAAAGAAATTTTATGACTATGCAAACTGTTGAATGTAGTCCAAATATTAACAATTAAATACTTCTATCATCCAGTTATGTGCTGTATGACATGTGAAGCACAGACAAATTTACGTCAGTACATAAAGTTTAAATCTGAACTCACTGTTTGAGTAATAATCATCTGGACTCCACACACAATGACTGAGGCAAGGTTTTGGAGAGCAAAGAACACTGGCATTGGCTGCAAAAGGAGTAGAACAACTGAGAAACAAGAGGCCCAGGGGCCACATCGCTCACCTTAGCAATTGGCTAGAAAAAGCACATATCAGATCAAAACTGAAAGTTTACTGAGGGGGGAGGGGGCATGAATTTTAACCCCCCAAGGGGGTCATGATTTTAACAAACTTGAATCTACACTACCTAAGATGATTCCCTATAAATATCACTAAGCATGGCTTTAAAGTACTTGAAAAGAAGATTTTAAAAGGTTTCCCTATATATTCCTATGTAAAACTTTGATTGGCCATTTTGGCCCCACCCTACCCCCAGGGGTCATGATTTGAACAAACTTCAATCTACACTACCTGAGGATGATTTCACATGAGTTTCATCTTTCCTGGCCCAGTGGTTCTTGAGAAGAAGATTTTTAAAGATTTTTCGTATATATTTCTATGTAAAACTTTGATCGGCCATTTTGGCCCCACCCTACCCCCAGGGGTCATGATTTGAACAAACTTCAATCTACACTACCTGAGGATGATTCCACATGAGGTTCATCTTTCCTGGCCCAGTGGTTCTTGAGAAGAAGATTTTTTAACAAGAGGCCCACGGGCCTTATAGGTCACCTGAGTATTGTGTAACAACTTTCAAACAATTAAATTTGGTTCGTGTTAAAACCGGAGGCCATGAAATTCACAATTTACAATTTTGAAAGAGGCACCATTGCTTATCATAATTATTAACTTAGCATGCTTACTCTATTTACTTAATACCCAGAGGTAGATCAGAGTAACAAAGAGAAAATGCACTTCCACTTTATAACCAGTTGTGCACCTCACCCCAAAGGAACCACTGACCCAGGGCCATATATTTCAAAATTTTGCAAATTTTATCATAAAATGGCTGATTGATACCAAAGAGCAGATTTCAAAGCATTAATTTATTTTCAGGCTATGTAACCACCCCCACCCCCCCCCCCTTTTGACCCTGGGGGCATTAAAAACCACTTTGCTAGATGCACCTTTCTTCATCATAAATATATATATACTTGGATCATTGGCTTAAAACCCAGAAGCAAAGAAAAATATTTACAAAGAATAAATGTATTTTTACTATATAATCAATAGAGCCCCGACTTAACACCAGAACCCCTGACCCTGGGGCCATAAAATTCACAATTTGGGAAGAGGCACTCTTGCTCACCATAACTATGTGCTTAGTTAGTTAATCTAATACCCAGGAGCAGAGGAGAAGATTTTCAAAGAAATAATGCATTTTCACTATATAATCAATAGAGCCCCGCCCTAACACCAGAACCCCTGACCCTGGGGCCATAAAATTCACAATTTTGGAAGAGGCACTCTTGCTCATCAGAACTATGTGCTTAGTTAGTTTATCTAATACCCAGGAGCAGAGAAGAAGATTTCCAAAGAAATAATGCATTTTCACTATATAATCTATAGAGCCCAGCCCTAACACCAGAACCCCTGACCCTGGGGCCATAAAATTCACAATTTTGTAAGAGGCACTCTTGCTCATCATAACTATGTGCTTATTTAGTGTATTTAATACCCAGGAGCAGAGAAGAAGATTTTCAAAGAAATAATGCATTTTCACTATACTATCTATAGAGCCCCGCCCTAACACCAGAACCCCTGACCCTGGGGCCATAAAATTCACAAATCTGGAAGAGGCACTCGTGCTCATCATAACTATGTGCTTATGCCCTGTTCACACGACAAGTTTAATTCGCAGTAAATTAATGCGAAGCAAACTAATGCGAATCAAACTAATGCGAATTAAATTGCGTTCACACGACAGCTAATGCGAAGTAAACTAATGCGAATTAAAATTTTACTTCGACAGTCAGGCGTGAGGAAGGCTATTATGACGTCATTTGCAAATCACGTCACCTTATGCAGAAGCAGATGCATTTGACATAATGTCACAGTGTCTGGAGACATATTCTAGTGATTAAGACATTTTTTCTTAGTTTTTGACTCAAAAATAGCACAAGTACTTAAAGTTGACCACCGACATGATGCATTTGACTTAGTTTTGCCATTACGCATGCCCCAAAATTTAATTCGAATTAGCTTCGCTTAGCGTTCACACGAAGCTAATGCGAAGTAATTTAATGCGCAGTAAACTAATGCGAAGTAAACTAATCCGCATTAAATTCTCCGTGTGAACGCTAAGCGAAGCTAATTCGCAGTAAACTTACGTTTAATTCGAATTAAACTCTCCGTGTGAACAGGGCATTAGTTAGTTTATCTAATACCCAGGAGCAGAGAAGAAGATTTTCAGAGAAATAATGCATTTTCACTATATAATCTATAGAGCCCCGCCCTAACACCAGAACCCCTGACCCTGGGGCCATGAAATTCACAAATCTGGAAGAGGCACTCTTGCTCATCATAACTATGTGCTTAGTTAGTGTATTTAATACCCAGGAGAGAGAAGAAGATTTTCAAAGAAATAATGCATTTTCACTATACAATCTATAGAGCCCAGCCCTAGCACTAGAACCCCTGACCCTGGGGCCATGAATTTCACAATTTTGGTAGAGGACTCAATGCTCATTACATTCATGCCAATAGTTTGCCTGCTTGATGTCCAGGAGTAAAGAAGAAGATTTTTAAAGATTTCATTAATTTTAGTGGTTTTGGCCCCACCCCTCAGGCCCCAGGGGGGCGGGGACCATGAAATTCACAATTTTTGTTCCCCTCCACCCATAGATGCTGTATACCAAATTTGGTTGAAATTGGTTCAGTGGTTTCAGAGAAGAAGCTGAAAATGTTCAAATGTTAACACACGACACACGACGGACGACGAAAACGGATAGCAATAGGTCACCTGAGTTACTCAGGTGACCTAAAAATGCTATTAATTTTTTACTAATTCATAATTATCTCCCCTTGGAAGAGGGCGTGGCCCCTCATTTGAACAAACTTGAATCCCCTTCACCCAAGGATACTTTGTGCCAAGTTTGGTTGAAATTGGTCCAGTGGTTCTTGAGAAGAAGATGAAAATGTGAAAAGTTTACGACGACAACAACAACGACGACAGACAACGGACAAATTTTGATCAGAAAAGCTCACTTGAGCCTTTGGCTCAGGTGAGCTAAAAAGGTATCCTAACAAAGAAGTCCTAGTGTCTCACATTGGATTAGTTTAATGTGCATTTAGGCTTTTACAAAATCACATAAAGTGGACAAATATAGGTAAAAATCAACTTCTTCTGCATTTTTCCCCCTTTTATCATTTCACAGATTGTCTAAATAAACGGAAATAAATGTTCCTGTTTCATCATGGCTTACTCCTACTGACACAAAACCAGTTATATACCAAGTTAGCGAGACCCTTTGATCCTGAGTAGACTGAACCAGCAAAGAGCATCATCCCAGGGATCCAATGAACCCAGTCTGACCTATATACGGAGAGGAGTTAATTATTTAATTGATATTAAATTAAAGATAACACCTTTTACACAGGCAAATAACATCTCTTATACCAACAAAATTAAACATGTTAAATGTAGGAAGAAAGTTAAACTTGTAGGTTGTAAAACCTGTTTGTGTCTGTCAGCATCGGTGGAACACGCTTTGTGATAACAAGGAGTTGTAGAACTACGAAACCAACCAGAGTCTGCCATCTGTAAGGTTCAACACTTATAGTTATAACAACACTCAATAGCTACTTAAGTAGTATTTCAGGACTTACCTAGGACAGGATCCTCTTTTTTAGGGTTCTCTGAAATTTATATTTCAAAAATTCTAGTTGAGAACACATATTGTAAACTGAAGAGTTCTACATGTATTTCCATGAATTTGACACTATTAGAGTGATCTCCCCATAGACTTAGTTCTTCTAGTTTTTTCCCTATCATATTCTCATTTAAGGGTTGCATCCTTATTTTTCAGTAAAAGTGAAAGTCCTTGAGTCATTGATGCTCTTAGATAAATTTGACACCTTCACCTTAGGAGATCTAAAAGTTGAGTGGTATTGGGCAGCAGACATAGCCTACAGTGTATTTTAATCCAGAGTCCCTACAGTAAATCTTATAGTATTCAACATCATAATACTAACCCTTTACTTGGTGAAAACTCATAAAATGCAAACTTGATGAAGAAGAATATTTTAATTATATTGCATTGTATAATGCATATAACATGAAATAAAATTTATATAAAAAAGTTCTTGTCATGAATGCATTAAATATTATCACATATCACATTAAAACGTACTGTACAAGATATTAAATAACAAAAACAAATACATACCCTTGAAAAACAGTTGGGTATTTAAACTCCAAGACAGACAGGACATACTGTAAAATGAAAGAAGTAAGAATTGATTTTCATTGTGAACAAGAACAAGAGGCCCATTGACTTTAATGGTCACCTGAGTTTCTCAGATATGACTACTAAATGGAATTATTATACCTCTACTGTAATTACTCTATATAAAATTAATACAATAAAACTGTCTATTTCCCTGAGAAGAGACTACATGTACATCCCTCATCTGAAGACTACTCCCTGGAAAATCAGAGCTACTCCCTGGGACTACTCCCTCATGAATATTTATTAAAGTGTTCAGTGGGCAGAGCTTTCAAGGAATCTCGAGTCTGTGACGTCATGTTATTAGCAATGTAACTATGACGTCAAAACATTTTGACATGCGATGTCAAAATCATACTTGAATTCTAGCAAAATGAAGACAACGATAATTCTTTGAAATGTCAGTGAAAATACTTTTTAAAAATAATTTCATTGCTTTAGGACACGATGTATTACTTATCATACAATGTGTTAAACCGCATACATTTGTAATTATACCTTTATAGTGGTTTTTTTTTTCAAATTTCGGAATATCTGGTAAAAAAAATTAAATCCCCTATGATTGTTTCGGTATAATAAAACAGTTATGAAATGAGAACTCGGGAAATAGCGATTTATGGTTCCCCTCGGCAGGAAACTATTTCCCTCGGTGGCTTCGCTGCCTCTTGAAATAGTTTCCTCCCTTGGGGAACCATAAATTTGCTATTTCCCTCGTACCCATTCCATAACTGTATACTATTGTCTAAACATGCTCAAGTGACAAAGATTTCACAGGTTGGTAAGGACTGATTATTATCACATTCATGCAGCTTTATGTCCTAGAAGTTCAAGAGTAAAGAAGGCATTAGGCATTAATGACCACTCACATTTAAAATATGTATTTTATTGTCACTTTTTTTCAGATCAGGTTAATGACTCTGTTTGTTGTCAGATTCATTAAAAATTGCCTGTATGAACATTACTCCTTTTTCGCTCTATACTATTTGTTTTTTTAATTTTGCGAGATGTTTTTAGACTTACCTTGTTGACAAAGTTTGTAAGGACAAATAACAAGAAAAAGGTTCCTATTTCTGATGCCATTTTCCTCTCAACATCTAAAAGATAAGTCATCTTTGTAACATATATCCCTGTTCCCACCTCTGTCAGCTCCTGGTGTTATTAGTAATCCCTGATTGCTGGTTAATTATGGAAACACTCACATACATAACTCTTTGTCTGCATCACGATTTACTGGGCCTTCACTTTAAGTCAATAATAGAATACCTAGGATTCACAAGTTTTACCAAAGTAAGGATAATAGACTGTAAATTACTAAATCCATATTGTATTTATTGATTACTGCATGTTGCTTAAAGAGACTCGTCATTTGTTTCGCAGCTGTTTTCTTTTTCTTATTCCGATAATGATGTACGATACAGATAAGTGAATTTTTTACTATTGTCACTTGCTATAATAACTAAACTACACTCTTTTAAAATATGTTTTGTACTACAGTCCAGATTAATTCTTCTAACTCTAAACGGATCAAGTGAAAATAAAGAGAAACTCAAGACATTCACGTGTAAACTAATATATTACGGAATGGCTATATAACGTTAAAAAATTTTCTATTTTATAACTACTATTATTATTTAAAGAATGAGACTAAGAAGATTTTTTTTATATTATATATGAAGAATAAAACAATATTAAAGCATATCGCTATATTTCATAACAATAATTATACCGGAAATATTATTTTCGTGAACAGTGTTTGGTTTACTCTCAATAATTTTTTGTCATGCAATTACTTCCTGTGTAGAGCGTGTGGTTGAAAACTAAAAACTAAAAGTAGGGGCTTTTTCACCATGGACTTCAAAAGAAAAGCAACTGAAACTGCTGTTGTACCAATGAAGAAACCAAGAAATGAAATAACAGCTTATAGTGGTGGACAGAATGGCACGTTGATGGAAACGGTAAAAAGACTCATCCATTTGCAAATGTTATATACCCCTTTGCCGGGTCAACCTTATTCTTTGAAGAGAAGTGGGTAGGTTTTCGCCTATATCCACTACTCTTCGCTAGCCTTCATGTTGTTATTCTAGAAAACGTGTAAAACGTAGAATTGGTGATGGCCTGAATGTTGAAGTTGAGTTAAGCACCAATGCTGAATGAAATTCAGTATACATTTAGCATTACTTACAACTGCTAACAGTGTCAGTGAAAATGCACTTCCCATGTTAATTATAAAAAAAATGCTCTATAAGCTTCATTACATGTCTGTTATATGTAGTATGGCACAAGTATTTTTAAAAACTACGAACCTTCGCCAAGTGAGTTAATACGTATGGGGGTTTCTAAGCAAAAACTTATTAAAACCCATAAATGCTATACCTACTGCACAGAAAAAAAATTAGGACGTTTTCTAACACATTCTTGGTACTGGTATTCACAACATGCAATAGCCAGTGCACATTATGAGATCATATTTTGATGTCATCAACCTCTACTACACAAGTTTATAAGGATTATCAACAAGGCCAAGTTTTTTTTTTCTCTTGGTTTACGATTCCGCCGACCCTATTTTTCCCTATTTACAAAAATAAAAATAATGTGTCTGACCCTCGAAACTGGACTTTTAATCCGAAAAACCATACGACAGTTTTTAGCTCTACTGGTCAGAGACCAGAAGAGCTTATGCGATAGTAATGCGTCCGTCGTCCGTCCGTCCGTCTGTCTGTCTGTCTGTCCGTCTGTCTGTAAACAATTTTTCAAAATGCTACTCCTCCTACAGTTTTGGTCTAATTTCAGTATAACTTGGCACACAAGTAGACTACACTAAGATACATAATTCTGTGTATCAGTTTTTGATTTCGATGAACGGTGTTGCCGTGGTTACTAAAAATAGAAATATCTGTGAAATTCATTCAAAATGCTACTCCTCCTACAGTTTTGGTCTGATTTCAGTATAACTTGGCACACAAGTAGACTACACTAAGATACATAATTCTGTGTATCGGTTTTTGATTTCGATGAACGGTGTTGCCATGGTTACTAAAAATAGAAATTTCTGTAAAATTGTTTCAAAATGCTACTCCTCCTACAGTTTTGGTCTGATTTCAGTATAACTTGGCACACTAGTAGTAGTAGACTACACTAAGATACATAATTCTGTGTATCGGTTTTTGATTTCGATGAACGGTGTTGCCGTGGTTACTAAAAATAGAAATTTCTGTGAAATTCTTTCAAAATGCTACTCCTCCTACAGTTTTGGTCTGATTTCAGTATAAGTTGGCAAACAAGTAGAATACACTAAGATACATAATTCTGTATATCGGATTTTGATTTCGATGAACGGTGTTGCCGTGGTTACTAAAAATAGAAATTTCTGTGAAAATCTTTCAAAATGCTACTCCTCCTACAGTTTTGGTCTGATTTCAGTATAACTTGGCACACAAGTAGACTACACTAAGATACATAATTCTGTATATCGGTTTTTGATTTCGATGAACGATGTTGCCGTGGTTACTAAAAATAGAAATTTCTGTAAAATTGTTTCAAAATGCTACTCCTCCTACAGTTTTGGTCTGATTTCAGTATAACTTGGCACACAAGTAGACTACACTAAGATACATAATTTTGTGCATCGGTTTTTGATTTCGATGAACAGTGTTGTACAGTGGTTACTAAAAATAGAAATTTCTGTGAAATTGTTTCAAAATGCTACTCCTCCTACAGTTTTGGTCTGATTTCGGTATAACTTGGCAAACAAGTAGAATACGCCAAGATACATAATTCTGTATATCGGTTTTTGATTTCGATGAATGGTGTTGTCGTGGTTACTAAAAATAGAAATATCTGTAAAATTGTTTCAAAATGCTACTCCTCCTACAGTTTTGGTCTGATTTCAGTATAACTTGGCACACAAGTAGAATACACTAAGATACATAATTCTGTGTATCGAATTTTAATTTTGATGAACGGTGTTGCCGTGGTTACTAAAAATAGAAATGTCTGTAAAATTGTTTCAAAATGCTACTCCTCCTACAGTTTTGGTCTGATTTCAGTATAACTTGGCACACAAGTAGACTACACTAAGAACATAAAGAGACTTTATCAACAATCATTATTCTATTTAATGCTGTTTATAAAGTTTCAAATCCCAGCTGCTTAAGTACTTTCTCTTCCTTTGCTATAAGTTCAAACCAGTAGAGTTTCAGTCTCGACAGAGACTTCTGGTTATAATTTACAACACATCTTAAACATTCAAATGACCTCCACAAATACAGATTGTCAAACCACATGGCCGTAGAGTCCAAGGACCAACCTAGGGGCAACTCACTTACAGACTGTTTCTGTACTAATGTCAGAACAATGCATCGAATACTCCGTCGGAACTCCTCTAGATTTTACACTTCCGGGTATGAAAAAGTCCATCGTTACAAGTTATATACACAACAAGACGCAAAACAGCTGGACAGCTATCGATGTCATGCCAAAGATGTTGGAGAAGATTTTATATCTTTTTATTGTCAAATAATTAATTCATGCTGTGAATACAGGCATATTTTTACTGTTAAATTGTGAAGTTATTAACTTCCTAAGAAGTCACACATCAGATTCAATAAACATAAGTAGTTCAATCGGCATGTAGATGTGCATCAAAACTTTTATTAGAAGAAGAATTTTATATTGAAAACAAAGTTTGAAGAGAAATTAACAAAATTATGACTATGCCAAAAGCCTGGAAATCTAATGAGAAGAGAAATTTTAGAAGTTTAAGATTGTTTTCTTTGATGGAGAAATGTCTCCTCAAATTCTGGGTCTAGGCTGGTCCCTGGACACACGTATCTTAAGTTGGTTGTGAAAACAATCCATCCCTTTCCGACTTTCCAAAAACTTTTTCATACGTGGAAGGCTGACCAGAGAATAGCAGATTCACTTAATTTTTTCCATATTTGTCCCAGTGCAATGTGTCTATTATGGAAACTCAGACTTGTAAGTCAGAAGAATAAAAACCATCAACAGTAACAGAGCCTGATACTCCCAATTCTGTTCTTGAGTCATTTGACGTGTGATTCATTTTTGTTGACATAAAAACAGAATGGTAAGAAAAAAATAATAAAGTTGAAAAATCTTATGTGTTTATTATTTTAATTTTAATACATTTCAATGCTACTCGATAAAAAAAATATGTCAAGGTTCCAAATTATTTTTATTTTTATTTTTCGACTGCCCAATGCATATTTTTGTGTCAGAAAATCGTAAACCAAAAAAAATAAAAACTTTGGCCCAAAATTGCTTTGGCGCAAGGGCAAAGCTTAATTACTTTGTTTTACAAAAACAAGGTATAAAAAGACACAATATTCCGTGGATTTAAGATGTTTCTGTACAGATGTTGACGTTGTAAGTGTTATAGTTACTATTCTTACAGTTTTAAACTAAAACAGGGTAAAATTTCACAGTCCCATGTAAGTTTCCTAAATTTTTATGGATTGAGAAAGTGCATGGGAATTGTGCAGCAATTTTATTAATTTTTAGAATATTCTCCTTAATATTAAACATTTATTTATTTATTTTAAATTAATTAGAATACCCGGTATGCCCTTGCGCTGACATTGTTTTGTTTATGTGTTTAATTACCTTGCATGGGGAAGAATAGTGACGTCATAATGTGTACTAGCTTTAACATGCTGTAGATACTAAGTGTGAATAAGAAAATCATTTTGAACTTTCTCTGTATAAAAAATATACAACTTGTGCATTTTTATCAACTCATTTGCATAGAAAACGCCCTTATTTATATTTAGCCTTAACTCACTTGCATCCCCACTCCATTTATAAGTGTAATAAATTAGCTTAATCAAGCTTAAATAGTTTAATCAAACTACTAGTATTTTGAAGTGGTAAAGTGGTGGTCAAATTTAAAGAAGACAAGTAAGTTGTGACAAGCCCCTGTGCTCTGGACCCATGACTTTTGAATGAGAAAAAAGGGCTTTTGACTATTTTCTTTAGAGGTGTGGATAAGCTTTGCCTATACATTCACTTCTCTTTCCAAACCTTCATGTTTTGATTCTGGAAATCATGTTAAATTTAGAACCAAACAACCTACACTTCAACTGACATTTTATTAGAAATATGTCTGAATGTATGTAAAAGATATGTTATATTAATTTTAACATAAATAAACACAAATGTAACAAGAAAACCAACCTTTACTTATCGTTAATCCATTTGTACCATGACAGTATGTTGACGGTGCAACCAGATTTACACCTTTTTAATTTTATTTTTTTGGTACGTCTACACTCTGATATCACATGACATTGTAGGAAAGTTGCATTTCCAAACCAAAGCTTGTACAGGAATAATTTTAATTTTAAATAAAGGGTTAATCTACTATTTTTCTGCAATATACATTAGCTCAGAGTAACTGTATCTTTTAATTGTTGTCATTTGTGGCAAGATGCATTATCAAAGATTAATCATATGGCGGTATAAAAAAAATATGTTTGTTTACGGTTACCAGATTGACCCTATAATTTTTCGTGGCCAACCCATAACATTTTTTTTCTTAGTAAAAATCCAGAAGTCACTCTGGAAAGTTTAACTTTTATATGCATCTTTAATAATTGGTCAAGTGTTTGAAATTAGAATAGAAAGTACCCAAAAAAATGGCATGTTCAATATCTACATCAACATCTTTGTTTCAGTTTGATTACTTAATACTATTATGTGGTAGCTGTAAGGCAGTTGGTAAGAAATATATTGTCTTATTGTCTATTACTCATGTGGCAAGCCCAATTAAAAGTAAAGCACCACACAATGGTAAAACTGTTTTGTATTTCAACCAATGCATGTGAATGTGTGTAGAAAAAGAATTCAATAAAATGAAATAAAAAATTACTACCTCCCCCCTCCCTATTTTGTTTCAGCATGTAACAGTAAACAAACATTTTTTTTGTTTGGCCTACTGATGAGAATGAATTTCTTCTTATAGATGAAGAAACATAAAAGAATTATTTCAGAATCATGTTTTACTACAGGGTCCACCGAGACTTTCAAACCTGGAGGCTCCCATAATGCAGTTAAGTGGACATGAGGGAGAAATATACACTGCCAAATTCTCACCTGACGGACAGATGATAGCATCGTCAGGGTTTGACAGATTAATAAGTAAGCCAGAAGAATCAAAATTTAAATTATTAAAAAGTATTTGAAATAAAAGTTATCTTGTGAACCAACTCTGCCATAAGCCTTTCTATTTAACGATGTCATTAAAGGGTATTCATAGTGATACTCAATAAAATGTGGCACTTTTAAAAAGGAGGTGGGGTGGTAAATGTTCATAAATTGTGGATAACTGTATAAAGCATCACTTATTCACAAATATCATTCTTGAATGAAACAGAAGTACATTGTGTTTGTTGTTTTTATCTTTCAATAAATGTTTATTTTATTTTTAATTTTTTTGCAGTGTTTTGGACAGTTTATGGAGAGTGTGAAAATTTTGCTGTCCTTAAAGGACACACAGGAGCCGTCATGGAACTTCAGTTCTCAACAGATGGAAAGTAGGGTTCTCAATTAAAATGCTTACATCATCTGCAATTGTCAATTTATATACAATAAGAGATCATGGCTCCAGACTTTTAGGGGAGGGGAGACAATGCTATAACAATAACTATATAGTATATAGATATTTTTACCCTGCGTTAATTTTGCAATTTCACACTAGCAAACAATTTTGTCCCATTTTAAATTCACCCATTCACAGTTTTGCTAAAGAAATTATAGTCTTCAATATGTGACTATATTGACCTGATCAGGTATTCATAAACTTTGGCCTCGGTCAACCAATATCTGACTAGGTCGGTATAGTCAAGAGTAGAGTAAACATCATCAAAAGTCAATAATTATATAATGTTGTAGTGAGTGACAAGTAAAAAATAGTTACATTGTACAGCCAAGCCTGTCTGTTAACTTCCTTATAAGACTCGGGTCTGGCACGTCACAATAGGAAAGAGTATATATTTTCTTTTTAAGTTCACTTGTCTCAGCCTCCACAGACAAGACAGTTGCATTGTGGGATGTAGAAGTTGGGGAGAGGATCAAAAAATTGAAAGGACACACAACATTTGTAAATTCTTGTCAGATTGCCAGACGAGGACCACAGCTTATTGTCAGCGGAAGTGATGATGGCACAATAAAGGTTGGTTTTGTTAGGAAAACAAATCATTTTTGTGTTAGATCTAACCATAAATTTTTAACATGTAGCAGAACTGATTTGATTGATTAATTTGTTTTTTGCGAACAGTCTCTCAGAAAACGGTGATATTAAATTTGATATGTAGATATTGGGGTTACTTTTTACACAATTTCAAATTGTATACAACAAAAATGCTTCATTTTTTATGGGAAAATTTAAGCTTAAAGAGTCTTAAACCAGTTATGATATTGTATTGAATGTAGCACCAAAAAAAAAAAAAAACAACAGTCTTAAGTCATTTACCAGATCTTGACCTAAAGTAAAAGGTTTCTTATTTTGTGTAGATTTTTATGCTCTGTTCAAATAAAGAGTTTACTGCAAATAAAATTTGAATTGTGTTCACTCAAAGAATTAAATGCAAGTTGGTTGATTGATTGTATGTTGTTTTACGTCCCATTCTAGAATTTTTCACTCATGTAGAGATGTCACTATATATTGGTGAAGGGCTTCAAATTTTGACCTTTACTTGGCACTCAGGGCCCTTGAGCAGTGAGGGTTCTTTATTGTGTGACACAGTACCTCGATTATAAGGTCTCATCCGAAGGACCTGCAACATTCACTTAAAGTGCCGAGAGCATGGCGAAGGAACAGTTGCTACCCATTTTTTATCGAACTAGGTCAGTTGCGGCCGAGATTTGAACTCATGACCTCCTGATCATGTAGCGAGTGCTCTACCGACTGAGATACCGTGAATGGTCCAATAATGCAAGTTGGATTTTTATCAAAATTATTTACTGTCCATCAGAATACTTCACAGTAACTCAATGAATGCTAAGGAAAGGACAGGACTTCAATCTATTCAAATCCTACCCATTGTTAGACCATGATTTTTATACCATTTGAATACAGAATTCTCCAATTACCAGAGTAATACATGGTGAATGTGACTGGTTAGCAGGTTGCTTACTCCTTCCATTATCACACCCCTGGTGTTTTCAGAGATCTGTGTTTTTGCCAACTTCATGATTTGTGCTCTTTACTGGATTTATGTAAATAATCAGTGTTCATTATCCTCAACTTTTACATCTTACAAAATGCAAGCATACAGGATAAAATCTACTGCAGAGCTTTTTCTCCAAGACAGCAAAACCATATTAGTCATATTGATATTGAAGCATCCTAAAATTGTTTGATGAAGTCATGACCTTGAGGAGAAAGATTACAACCCTCAATATGGTTTCAAGGGACAAAAAGGGGAAACAATCTCTTTAAGATCTTTTGAAGAAGTGCAGATATTCAAATGAGCATTATTGTCCAGAGGCCTCATGTTTACAAGTTGTAAAAGCAGCAATAACCAAAAAACATACATTTTGAAAAAGATCAACATTCTTAATATCAAGCATTTAAAAATGTTTTGTTGAACTATCTTCAATTTTAAATTTATTGCTTAACCTTTGTACAATTAATGTTACAGTTATGGGATGCTAGAAAAAAAGGATGCCAGCAAACATTTCAGAACACATACCAGGTGACGGCGGTATCATTTAATGACACAGCTGAACAAGTTCTATCAGGAGGAATAGATAACGATATTAAGGTAAATACAATGTATCGTCTTCTGTTATATACCCCCACTCCAAAGGAGAGGGAGGTATACTGTTTTATCTTTGTGCATCTGCCTGTTTTTCTAGTTATACACCCCAATCTGAGGGAGGGGTTTACTGTCCATCTATCTAGCTGTATATATGTCTAGCTATCTGTCTGTCAGTAACAAATTTTTGTCAGCAACTTCTCTTTCGCAGATGCTTGAAATTTCAGCACACTGTTACTACATGCCATATGGTGAGATTCCTTTTTGTATGAATCCAGTGTCAACTTTCTGTTTATCTATGTGTCTGTCCATGCCAAATTTCTTGCTCAGTATTCTCAGCAATGACTCAAGGCAGATCACACCAGAGCAGGGTATTATAATTACTGAGCATTTGCTCGTTTAAAGCTTAATACAATTCATAAAAGGAATGTGTCCACCATTTTTGTTTGGAGAATCGCTATACCTGCAGACTCATATATAAAGGGCAGGACTTTGTCACTGTTCAGTGTAATCAGTCGACACCGGTGTAGACGGACGTATGCTATATAGCACTTGGTAGCGAGAAAATGACGTAATGCTTCGTCAAATGCAGGAAAGTAAGATATCAAAGAAACTAACAGTTATAGTTGTATGGGTCAGTGCAGTATACAAACAAAACTGCAATAAAATGTAAACAAAGGTAATGCAAGATAATCAGCATGAACATGGGTCGCCATTCCACGCCAATACCCATAACAATAAAGCAGTCAGTGTGACGAATCTTAAGAGTATACCCTGGTGTTGATGTATCGTAGATAATTAAAATTTCACGATTTCTTTAAAAGTACCATTTGCGATGGTTTTAATTTCACGCTGCAAGAAATTAATTTAATTACATATACGCATTTAAATGTTTAAAACATGTATAGAAACCAATGATAGCATTCACGATGGGTTTAATTTCGCATAAAAAATTACAAATTGCGAACATAGTGAAGTTTTTCTTTTGCTTTATTTTAGTCTAATTGATCATAAAGGTTTAAGATAGAGTGATAAGCCATAAGTGATCGTCCAAATTCAATTTTCATTACTTCACCTTACATTTTCACACAACTTCGTCGACGCTGTATCTTAAACCGAGTTCAATATATATGTAAGGTTTTTATTCCATCCACAAGTGCTTGGTTTGGCTTATAAGTTGGAACATACTTTTGTTATTTGTGTTAGATATAGTAACAATTACATGTAGTATGTACTAATGAGGTATGCATTCTTCCTGACACAGGTGTGGGACTTGAGGAAGAATGACATTCTGTACCGATTACGAGGCCATACAGACACAGTGACAGGGATCCAGCTGAGTGCTGATGGCTCCTACCTCCTGTCTAACTCCATGGATAACACAGGTACTGTATTTCTCATGGAGGAGACAAACAAAGCTTCCAAGTACCTGTAGTCTTAAAGCGGTCTCTTCAAACAGAATTTTTAAAAAAAGATGACAATCAGACACATTTTTATAAGCAGTTAATCACAAATTTTTCCAAGTATCCAGTAAACAAAACAAATTACTAAAATATTCTCTGTCATCTTTGGACTTTCAGTAAGGCTTGACATTCTTGGTGCTACATAATTAGCATCTCTCAAATAGCGACATAGATTCTCATTGATTAAGATTTTAATAACATCACGAACTTTAAATTGTTGTTGACAACTATGAGACGACTTAAGCTCCACCTCTTTGCCGTATGAAAGGCTGTCATTGGATCATTGCTACACTAGTTTCAATCGCCCAAATTTCTATCCTGTGTATATTTCAACATTGAATGAAAAGCTGACCGTGTATAAATTTTAGACGCTAATTATGTAACGTCGAGAATGCCACACCTTACTGAAAGTCCAAGGATAACATGGAATTGTATTAAAAATGGTAATTTTGTTATGAATTATTCTAGCTGCAGATCTCTAGCTTACTGATCTGAAAAAAATTGGAGTAAACAACCAGAGAAGTACAGTGCCACCCATAAAATAAATAAATCACAGGGAGGTGTTTTGATAGCAGCGACATCTTTTGAACTATTTGACTGGTCAATTGTGGAATTTTAAAGCATTCGGTCAGCAGAAAAAAAATATCAAAATCAGGCAAGACAATGTTCGATGAGTTGCTGTCTGTTGCCCCAAAAATCCCATTTTTGCCTAAAAATATGAGCTGTTGGTGGCACCACTTTTGGAAATGTGTATGGTGTTTAACTGGTTATCAGTAATACTTGTTGTCATCTTCAAAAAGTATCCTTCAGTTGTAAAGTTTTGAACATTTTTACTGGTATGCTTTCTTTTTTTCAGTAAGAATATGGGATGTAAGGCCATTTGCCCCACAGGAAAGATGTGTTAAACTTTTTCAAGGTCATCAGCACACATTTGAGAAGGTAAGGAAAGTGTATCAAGTTATAAATTTATTTTGTCCACAGGTGTCAGCCTATGTATCTATTTTCAGCATAAAAAAATAAAGAAAAAATATAGTTCTAACTAGGGATGTCAATTTTATTCGGACAGCTTAGTCGAATAGTCGAATGCTTTAGTCGAACGATAGTCAAATATTCGTTTAATATAAATTAATTTTCATGTCATATTTACTGTTTGTCTTTTACAGATGAGTTTACAATATTTAACCAACGCTATCACTATTATACAACAAATTACTGAATTGTAAACATTTATGCAGTACAATGAAAACTGTACATCAATATGTATCCAATGTATTTAATTTCAAAGTATATATTAGCTGCACATTTTATCTAAATGGAGGATATCAAAGTGAAACACGCACATTTGTCCTTTTTTTACATAACGGTACATGTACCCCATAATTGAAGCCATTTCTATGTGTCTGTCAATGATTTTTGATTGGTAAACAATTAAAGCGTGTCTCTTATAAAAACAAAGAGAGAGCGAGAGCTTGGGATATATTAAAATTATGAAATTTTGAGCGAACAGTCGATGATTGTAATTATGAAATTAATATCAGAAAAAGAAAACACGGTTTAATTACGCTCATAACTGACCCCAATTTACATGTATTTACAATTTTGTAATAGCTGTTTAATATTCTTTCTGAATAGTTGTATCATGTCAGATCTTAGTTTGAATCTACAAAACTAAACAGTTGCCTTCTCCATTTAAAACTGTAAGAAGTAGACAATCACCAACTATACGAAAACTGTAGATTTTGAAGACATGTTTGCCGAATACATTTACATCGACGTCAATAATTTTCTTTGGACAGTTAAACCATACCCTTAACTTTACATACGAAAATATTGATATTTTAATAAATGATATGGGCAAATCTAAGTTGATTGCCTTGAATTCAAAATTACTTTGATGAAACACATTTTTAACTTATAACTGAGTAAAGAAAGTTTAGTCGATAGTAGGTTTGATCGAACGATAGTCGAGTACTCGAATATTCGTTGACATCCCTAGTTCTAACATATACATGTACATGTATAACAAAACACCAGTAATGGAACAATGTTCAGGTTACTAGGGCACTTTCCCATCAAAATATACATATAATATGAAGAGAGATGGAATTTGAGTTGAAAATTTTAACACATTCACCAGCATATTTTTGGAAATCATTTAAAGAAACCTACTCAGGCATTGTGGCTCATTGGCCTATCATAATTTTATCATCTCCAGAATATTTTTTCAGTTTTGTTTACCATTTATTATTTTTCAGAATTTGTTACGTTGTGCTTGGTCATCAGATGGCAGTAAGATTTCAGCGGGATCTGGTGATCGTTATTTGTATATATGGGATACGACATCACGCAGGATACTGTATAAATTACCGGGACATGCCGGATCTGTCAATGATGTAGGGTTCCATCCCACAGAACCAATAGGTATAACATTGATTGCTTTACTGATCAAAGAAAGAAGAACTTACGTAATAATAAATTGACCTTCACCTGCTTCCATTTTTCTGTAAACAATTTTTCTAAACACTTCAGCTTTTAATAGAACATGGTTCACAAGTAGGTAAGCCAAGATATCCTTGATATCAAGATATCAAGGTATGTACTGTACAACCACTGCATCACACAGGCAACATTAGAAATTTTAGATTTAAGTATACATTATTAGATAAATTAAGTGGTCATAGACTGAGAAATTCATTAAATTAGGGTGTTCCCCACAGCCCAATGTGACTCTTTTTCTTTATTCTGCAGCTGTCTTAGACATATTGAGATAATGTATCACAAGTAGTTATTTCTGTAAATATTATTACTTTAGTAATTTTTCTTATTCTTCTGCAAACTTTTCCAAAATTACAATGTATTCCCCATTTTCAAAAGATGAGTTATTTCCCCTGAAGGGAACTCTTTTACTGTGTTTAATACGCATGCGCTATAAATAAAGTCACTTCCGCGGACGTTCTTGATGTAAACATGTTCATGGTGTAATGCCTCTGTCATATGGAAAAATGTTATTGTGTTTGTGAATAAAAAGAAATCTTAACTGATTCGTATTTTTTTAAATTGCCCACTCATTGTCTCTTTCTGGATTTGTATTAATCTGTATAGTAGTATAATAAGGCGCTGTGTGAGCCCCCCCCCCCCCCTCTTACAAAAAACAGAAAAGAAACAAATTACTGATAAAATGCTGATGCATATTCGAATAGGCCTATTTAAAAAAAATAAATAAAAAAAATAAATAAAATAATAAACAAATTTTCGGTAGTGGATGTTCTGCAGACTGATCATCACTATTTACAAAATGTGCAGAACAAATGTAAGAATTTTTAGTTTTTACGAATTAATCTAGCATGCTGCAGCCATATTTTCTTCTCTGCATCTCTAGGAATTTTTTGGAGACTGATGACATGTCCATCTACAGTTTTACCCCTGAAATTGTTGCATATACAGCAGTAGTTCGTCTTCCGCGACCGATACCAAGAAACTGCGTTTTTGCTCGATTGTATGTCATAAAATAGAACTTTTACTTACAAGAATACATTTGGTGTATTTCATTTGAATTAACCGTGTTTTCAGAATTTTTTATTTGTAAAATAATTGATTCACTGCATGCATAGTATTAAAAACTTTGAATGGAATTCTAAATGAATAATTTAATCTCATGTGCTCATGTAACGAAGAAAGACTAATTAAAATAGCATCGACCTGAATTCGTGTTACATATGTCGTATAAAGTCTGAGCTGCATTTAATCAAAGTTTTAGTGCAGGATCTAAGCATACGTACATGCATATTCCCGAGGAAAATACACATTTTGTTTTAGATCAGAGAATCGACAGCAGAAACACGAAATAGATACAATAATTTCCTAGCGTATTTCTTGTTAATTAACGGAAAACATTCTTTTCTCAAGTGTTATTCATGTTTTACTTTTTCTATTGAAAATGTTCATTGAAAGCTGCCACCCCCCCCCCCCCCCAACACACACACAGTTTATACTACGGTAAAGTTATATAAGGGAAATGTAGTATTGTATGCCAAGGAACTGGTACTGAAATAAGTAGCTTTTCGACTTTGGGCAAGGTTTTTCTTTGCTTGTTAACTTTTCCAGGTAAGAAAAAACATATTTCTTTGGCTGCCCCACTTTTAAAGACGATGATACGTGCCTGGCTAATTCGTATAGCTTTCTAGAAAGGGGGGGGGCAACAGACCCTTTATAAAATCGCTTATTATCTAAAAAAAAATTGCAAACCGTTTCCTTCTTTTAAAATTTTTAATGCAGCGTGTAAGTTGATCACTATTTTGTTGGATTATCGTAACGTGTAGTCCGCGGAAGTTGTGCTAGTGTAGAAGAGTTCCGATTTTTAGGGGAGATAACTCACTTTTGAAAATGGGGAATATTATTTACATCAAATTATTATATTCCCATTCCTTAAACCCCATTATTGATATACTGTAGAAGCACAAACATTCTTGGGGACAAAATTTCGTCAATTTATCATCTAAAAAGGTTTTGTTGGCATTAAATTTCATTGTTATGAAAATAAATTTATTCAGTTTATAGTAATATAAAAATTTTGTGTGGGAGTTAATTTTGTTGATAATTGTTTACAATGAAATAAATGAAATTGAATCCCCAATGAATAGTACATCTCTCTGAGGAGCAGTTTGCTGACTAGTCAGAATTTCTAGTTTTACATGTAAAATTGTTTTCCTGAGGACCTTTTATGTGCTTCACATATATTTTTGTTAAACTTTTAAGCATTGAACTTTTATTAACTAAAAGAATGATCAGTGTGATGAAGATGTTTATTGTCTCTTGTCAGTGTTGTCCTGTGGCAGTGATAAGAAGATCTTCCTTGGAGAAGTAGAGTGAAGTTTTGTATTCAGCTGAGGTGATGGATGTTGTATGAAAGCTAAAGAATGTTGGCAGCAGATACATGTATACTTTTTCAGTGGAAGCAGATTTAGAAGACAGAACTTGTAATTTCAGATTTGAAATTTGAGTGTTTGGTGGTCCTTATTGAAAAAGACTTAATACATGTACAATGTATTATGCATTTGCACAACTATTGTGAGTGTCACTCTGACCAACTCCAAACCAACAGGCAAAAGCAGTAACTCATCCTCTGATTCTAGAATTCTGAGAGAGGAAGAAATTAGGATGTACCCTAAACAAAATCTGAATCTTAACCTTTCTAGTATCTGATTACAAATTGTCTCTAAGCTTTTGAAACAGTTTGACATATTAAAATATACTGATTGATTATACAAATAAATGTATGACAATAATGTAAACTCAGTTTTATGTCATTCATTTTGTTTCTGAAATGCATTTGCAAGTAATGATCCATAAACATGTAGATGTATATACTAATATATTGGTAAAGATGCAGGGCAAACAGCAGTCTTTTTCAGGCTTAAAGTTTAAATTGGACTTTTCTGATTGGAGTGTGTCTGGAAACCATCAAACCTCTTAACTTTTCAGTTTTATATCCCCATGCAAGAGTTTACGGTTGTTGGAATCAGCATGTCTAGATATGATTTTGTCCAGACATTTGTTGTAGACTACTGTATGTATGCTATTTCAGATTTGACGATGCAACAAATAACATTCTCAACTATAATGACAGGGTATAAGATTACTCTATAAAGTTTTATTTTAACCCTGAAAAAGGGTATGAAATACACTGTACATGTATTTTGCTTGATGAAAGAAATTAATAACTACATTTCAATAAACACATTGCATGTATATAAATGATTCAATAATTGATTGTGTGGATCGACAGGGGACTCTGTGTAAAGTGTCAGATTTAGTAAAATCACTGGTGGTTCCCTGATTTATCATATTAAAGGGTGTCTTAAGCGAGTGTAAAAATTGGTGTTTTGCTTGCTCAAAGGTTGCCAATGAATGTTTTGCGTGGACATGCAGTTCCATGACGTTGTAAGACAGAGTAAGTTCATGTACAGTGGCTAACTGCGGAGGATGGCAATCTGATTAAAATCAGTTCCTCGATGCCCCTTTTTTTAATGATATGTCGCGTGTGACATACTATTATTGTTAAAAGAGCATCGAGGATGTGATTTTAATCAGATTGCGAAGGATGGGAAACTCATTGAGTGACTTGGGTCTGGACTTATGAATTCTCAGCTGCATGTCAACCTTTGTAAGCTCTCACCTAGGTCAGACAAATTCTTTTTCTTTCTTTGTTTTTTCGTTTTTTTTTACCCTTCTCCCTTGACATTGCTACGTATCAATTGTTTGGTTGGCTGTAGCAAACCTTGACTCCAGTACCTAACAACCATTATCTGGTCGTATATCACCCAGTGTGGTCTTGGCTTGTCTGCGTAAGGATGCAGCAAGGTCCCTTCTGTCTCGTATAGTCGCATTCCACGTTATTGTTACTTCATGCTTCAAAATGCACCCTATAGTCGATCCACGAACCAGTACCATCAAACTTAACTTAGGTTACTGGTGCTTTGGCTAGGTGTTACTTGCGTTCCTAGTTTGGTGTTCACTACTTGGTGGACTAATGTCTTTTTTGAAGCTTCATGAAACACTTGTTGTAGTAGGCCTGCGGGGACACCAAGCAAAGTACTGTTTTGAGAAAAATAGGTGCCTGGTGACCATGCGAAAAATAGGTGCCTGGTGACCATGCGAAAAATAGGTGCCTGGTGACCAAGGCCAGACCCAAGTACAGAAGATAATCTGAAAGAATAAATAAAGTCCCGGGTACTAAGTCATCTACAAATGCACTCACACAAACTAGTGTCAATATACAGACTGGTCTTTTTGTAAATGCAATTTTGAATAATGTACCAAATACGTGTTATTTTTAGCTCTACTGGTCAGAGACCAGAAGAGCTTATGCAATAGTAATGCGTCCGTCGTCCGTCTAGCTGTCTGTCTGTCTGTAAACAATTTTTCAAAATGCTACTCCTCCTACAATTTTGGTCTGATTTCAATGTAACTTGGTGCACAAGTAGACAGATACATAATTCTATTTATCGGTTTTTGATTTCGATGAACGGTGTTGCCGTGGTTACTAAAAATAGAAATTTCTGTGAAAAACATTCAAAATGCTACTCCTCCTACAATTTTGGTCTGATTTTAATATAATTTGGTGCACAAGTAGACTACACTAAGATACATAATTCTATTTATCGGTTTTTGATTTCGATGAACGGTGTTGCCGTGGTTACTAAAAATAGAAATTTCTGTGAAAAACATTCAAAATGCTACTACTCTTACAGCTTTGGTCTGATTTCAATATAACTTGGCACACAAGTAGACTACACAAAGATATATAATTCTGTGTATTGGTTTTTGATTAACAGTGTTGCCATGGTTACTAAAAATAGACATTTCTGTGAAAAACATTCAAAATGCTACTACTCCTACAGTTTTGGTCTGATTTCAATATAACTTGGCACACAAGTACACTACACTAAGATACATAATTCTTTGTATCGGTTTTTGATTTAGATGAACAGTGTTGCCATGGTTACTAAAAATAGAAATTTTCAAGTTTGGTCCAAAACTCTGTGTCTGACCTATGGGTGAGATATAAAAAGATTGGTATTTTAGTAGGTCAATCTTTCTAACATAAGCTTAAAAAATACACTTATAAGCAAGTATATACGGTACTTTCAAAATGCTATTCCAAATACAGTTTGATTCTGAGTATAATATAATTTGGCATGCAAGTATACTACACTGAGATTCATAAAATCAATTTTGTGTTTTTGATTTTGATGATTGATGTTGCCATAGTAATTTAAATTGAAAATTCTGTAATATTTTATTAAAAGCTACTCCTACAGTTGTAGTCTTATTGCAGTCTTGCCACAAAGAGACTTAATCAAGGATCGCATTATTCTATTTATTGCTTCTGTAAAGTTTAAAGTCCCAACTGCTACTTTTTTTCTTTATTCGTTATAAGTACAAACCAGTATAGCTACAGTCTCGACAGAGACTTCTGGTTTGGTAGATGCAAGAACTACTTTGATAATTATTTTTCATTAAATAAAATGCCAAAGAAGACATAAAAATGATGGAGTTTTGCTACAGGTAAATGGGAAAAGCAAGTCTTGGTACATGTGAATTTGACTTTGAGGTTATGGTAGCCGACATACATGTATGTGCAAAATGTATCCTTTTCTTTTAACTTTTTTAAAAAGAAGAAAATGCAGATTGGTAGATGTGACATCAACCAAGACGTTTATAGGAGAAACCGAGTGTGAACGGTTATGAAAAGGGCACATAAGACGCTTCCCTATGAGAATATAAAAACTGCTTCTATACCACCAAGATATGTTAAATTAATTTGCCCAGGTCAGTCATTACTTCCAACTGATAAGAAATACTCGGAACCTTTAGTAATTGAAGCCAGTGAAAAGTTTAATGAATCTAGTAAAGCCTTGGTTGCAAGATAAATTCTAGACGGGAGCTTATGTTAAGATTAATGAATTTGTCCAGTAAACCTCTATGTACAAGAATACTATGTACTTGTTCTGACAAAATCACCTAGCTATGGCAAATGTGATCGAAACAGAGAGCCTTACCGTAATTTTGACACTGCCAAGCATACCAATGCTGTCCCGAATCATTCTGGGAAACTAAACAAGAGTTGGATCCAATGCAGACAAAGAAGGTGGGGATTCTTATTAAGTTTTAGCAATATATATTGACCACGAAATGCTTGCAAAAGTAAGTTCCGTATGTCTTTACCGACTTCCATCGCATGAAGAGTGGGGAGAATATCTCATTTCTTGCGCATCAGAGGACATGAAAATAAGGCGATACTAATGCAGCCTATGGATAGAACCTTTGCAAAGCAATCACTTCTCGTCCCTCATCAGAAGAGAGTGCACACGACTATACCCACGGCAACCATATCAGAGACAGTTAGCTGTCGTGTTTTGTGACTGCCTAAATGCAGAAACGGACGATGATCAGGAATGGCAGGACGATCCAGGGGAACTCATCTTTGAGTCTGAACTTGAATCTGACAGAATAATTTGAAAAGCCACAGCACCTTCCCAACCTGGCGTATGGAGAAAAATAGTGGAGGAGAGTCTAGCCTTCAATACACAATCAGAAAGTAGCTTGGAACCTTGCAAAAAGAGACACGAAGACAATCATACTCTGTAGTATTTAATATAGTATTTGTAAACATACAATAAGTATTTCTGAGTTATTACAAAGATATTCCCGTTCTTAAAGCAATACATCCATAACATTTGTGTCTTAGTAAAAATGCCATATTCTGAAAACTGGCTGTATTTAAACTACTGTGTTCATCACTTTGTCATTTACATATTAGTTACATTAGAAAAACATAGGTAATCAGAGATTATAGAGCTCACCTCAACGAATGTTGTCTTTAAGTAAGGCAAAGTCACACAATTAACCAACAAAATGCAAAATCACGCATATACCGTTTCCCCGCAATCACGCATTTTCATGCACTTTAAAAAGTTCATTTAAACTTAAATTAAATGCTAATTTCCTTCTATTTTATACCTGCAAAAATCTCCTAAAATAAGAAAAGTTATTTTTGTATTAAAATATAACGTCAATATTATTTACGCTAAACTTTGATGTACCACGCTAAAGGGTGCTTGCGGGGAAATGGTAAATTTCTACTTCTATGACGTGGACATTAAGCGTATGTTACATAACAATTCAGTAAGTTGTAAAGAGTTAACCAACAAAATGTGTACATCCAAAAATGAAAAATTTATGCAATTTTGATTTGATACTTTGGAACAGACCTATATAAAAACTTCAAACTAGTTCTTCATCATGAAAACTAATTAAAGTCCAGCATCTGAAGCAAGTTTGAGAGTTTTCATCCTTTCATGCATCATTTGTGCAAGTTTGGTTTATATAAGCCTTATAATTTCTTAGTAATAGACCTGCACCCATAACTTTTACGAGGTCCATAATCTGGAAAATGTATGTCGAATTCAGCATCTGAAGCAAGTCAATTAGTGTGCATCCTACGATGTATCATCCATGCAAGTTTGCTCAACATAGAGCTCAAAGTCACTTGGAAATGAAACCTGTATAAAAAAACTAACCTTTTCACTAATTTAGAAAATGTAGGTCAGATTCAGCATCCGAAGCCAGCCTCGTAGAAAGTATCCTTAGATGTACCATCCATGCAAGTTTAGTCATTATAGGGCTCAAAGTTACTTGGAAATGAATCCTGCACAAAAAACTTTAATCTGTTCACTCGTCCAGAAAATGTAGGTCAGATTCAGCATCTAAAGCGAGTCTGGTAGTATGCATCCCAAGATGCTGCATCCTATAATGCACACAACAGGACTTGCTTCATATGCTGACCTACATTTGCAGACTTGAGACCAGTTTAACTGGTTTTTGGAGCAGGATCATCTTTTCCCCTTCCTAATGGATAATCCATGTAATCCAGCGGATGCTGAATTTCACCACTATTTTCCAGATGTGTGAACAGGTTACAGTTTTTAGAGCAGGTCCATGACCAAGAAACTATAAGGTTTACCTGCGCCTGAAGCGAATTTGCATGGATGGTGCATCAAGGGATGCTTATCCTTTGAATTAAAATTAAATGTTTGAATTACATGTATTTAAGTTTAAGTCCTGCATGGTTCTTTTGTATTAATGGAAACAATAAACTGTCATTCAGAAATACACAAAAGCAGAATTAACCGAATTTACAGGGAAAAATCCAAACCACATGCCCGTTTTCTAATGTTGTTACAGATGGCTCAGTTTATCTTCTGCTCAACCTATGGATTTCCTGACAGCAATCAAGTATGTAAATAAGTTTATTTTGGTAAGGACTAGGACTTGTGGAGTAGAGGCTGGAGAGCTCCTGTATGTACCAGTGTGTGATACACAGCGAAGCAGTTCCGGGAATCCCTGACACACAGAGGCACCTGACAGTGAGAACAGTGGGACTCAGTCAACACGTCCCAGCCGCTCTTTGTTCGGTTTTTCCGGAATTTACAAAATATACAGCGTTTTTTCTTCTTGTCTCGGTTCGATTCCACTTTGTGTACACTATCGTCAAAGTTAGGAAATCCTGGGGACATTTGGATGTCCATGACATCAAATAAACCATGTCCTGCAATGCAAGAAACATTTCAGTCAATTTACTGAATTAAGAAATCACCAAGAATTGCCTGTACGTATATGAGTCTGACAGGCCACTTCATAACAGATTAAAAATCTTTTAAAGAAAACCTTTCTCATATTTTCAAAAGCATGTTTTCAAGTTTACTGAAACAAAGCAGCCATTTGGTGGACATTACACATCTGAAAGCCACTTGAATCGTCAATTTTGTTAGGGAAATTTTTCTACTCTACTTAGAAGATTTTACCTAAGATCTTGCTTTTCGTGGCATACAGCCAAACCTAGTTTACCATACTTTATCACAAAAAACTTGTTTTTTAAGCAGAGATTGTGTCCAAGCACCATTGCCTGTCCAGGATGTCCAAAGGAACTCTAATACTTGGTCGCCGGCCGGCGATCATTTGTGCCAAAATTGAAGGGAGAAGAAAAGACGTGTCTTGGCACACATTGATGTCGGTGTCAATAATCCCTGATGGGCGACATTAATTGTAACGAGGGTAGGTATCTAACGACATATTGTTGCCGAGATAATATACACTGTTTGTTCCATTACAGGAGCCCTATGTCAGCTTTGGATTTTTCTGTGACCTGTCACAACCGAAAATGGATAGAAGTTTTATGCCTCTGGATCAAAAGATCCCGGGGGTATATTGTGTTTGTCCTGTCTGTCTTTCTGTCTGTTGTCAACTTTAACCTAGAGTGTTCACTATGACAAGACCTTCCCATTGGTACAGAAAGTTTTGTTCATGTGACCTCAGCTGTGACCTTTGACCTACATTTGAAACCCCTGAAATAGCTTTCAAGTGTATAGCACTTCAGTCTACGTCCCACTCTAGTGTTTCCATCGGCCGGGGGGGGGGCATAGTGTTTCACAAACACATCTTGTTTTCAATGTTATTTCAGTTACTCTAGGCGATTCAACCACGGTTTCCAAAAAACATTCAATGCCATAAAATATTCGAAATTTTGACTTGATAAAATACCAAACAAAAAAGGATTAATCCAAAATTCTATTGCTTCCTTCTACACTACACTCTTAATAGCCCATAAAGGTTTTCTCAATCAGAAACTGTAGGCCTGCGCTACACGCTCCATAGAAAAAGTGCACACTTCCCTACACTCGCAACGGAGATTGATGCGATATAGTACTGAGCTTGTGAGGGTATGTGTGTCTCTGTGCAAAACATAAGTGACGTAACTTGCGTCCGGATCAATGTCAAATGTTGCTTTGGTTTACAAATAAGCTCTTAGCGAGGGGACGCTCCGCCTCGCGGTGCCCTCGTTCTTTTATTGCACAATAGGTGATTTTTCTTATTTGGACTACATAACATAAACATTATACAAAACTCTATTAGATCTTTATTTTCCGATATAATATGAAAAAAAGAAAACAAATCTAGATATGTTGTATACAACGAAGTATAAAAAATATGCAAAATTCAACAATCCATATAATGTTTGGCAAAACAAAACGTACAAAAACACCTGTTGATCTGTTAACATTCTTATCTATATAAAATCGTCTGAATGAGGTTAACTATTACCTGTGACCTGAGGGTATATTTAAAATCGATATGAACGAAGATATTGAAACATTCCTTAAACTGCTACATTGCATTACCGAAAATTTTTGAAAGTTAATCGGTTTCGATGACCAAAAACTGTTTCTTTCATTTCCAAAAGATATTACCATACATTCAAAATACAATGTTATACTAGTATATGGGTTGACTATCAAGTCAATGTGCGCGACTTTCATATTTTTGTTTGTCTTATTTTTTTCGGACATCAAAACATTAAACAGTGCATCGTTTGCATTGTTTCAGAAATTATCTTATAAAGTTTCGTTAATAATTTTAAAATATTTTTAGTTTTAATAAGGAATATTCGGTAATGCAAAAATGCACCCTACACATAGAGCCAAAATAAATAGAAATACAACATGTGCAAAGAAAATTTTGAACTCTTTAAAACATATTTATAAAATATAATAAATGTTTATATTCTATAAGAAAAAAAAATGAAGATTAAAAGCAAAATCGCCAAATGCAAAATTAATATATTTTTTTTTTATCATAAAAAAGTTAGTGGGGGAAAATTATGGAAATTCCCTTTTACATTCTCCACATAACAAAAAGATATAACAACCACTGGACAGAACAGACCAATTCGATATTCTCTGTAACAATGAGTAAATCTGAATATAAAAAAATACAAAATGAAAAACCAATTAAAAGGGGTAGCATTCCTGAATATCATATTTTACAAAATACGTTTTAAACGTTAAATAAAATTACGTGTGCGGTCAAGTTTCAGAAATCTACTTAATGAGATACATCCCTGAAACAAATATTTCCTGAATACACCTTTTTGGGACCCCTATAACACATACTATCAAAGCAAAGTTAGTAACAGGGATCACATCACCGGTATAAAATTGAGATAAACGAACAAAATAAAATATCTGTAATACTGTTATATTCATTTTCCTTTCAAAAATCAAAGACAAGTTTATTGTGCGTTTGGCGGTTATTTAGAAGTTTGAGTCATTTCATGAGATAAGAATGAGAATATAAAGGTGATAAAACATTTTACTATAAGCAATAATAAAAAAAGACAACTAACTCAAAGTTTAAAACCGGTATTACTGTGGAAGGCGTAAAACTTCCTTCTAGTAAAAATCAATAACCAAGGTATATTTTGTCCAAAAAAAATCTAACTTGGGTCTTGAGTACCTAAATACTCCAGAAAAAATTCAACAAATATGATGCATAACAAATGATTGTAAAATACATAACACGAAAAAAGCAGTAATTCAAAGTCTCGGTTTACAGCATCGTCTCAAACCATGGTCTGGAGTCCGCATATAGCTCTCTCCTCCAGAATGGGAGAGGATCGTTCATTTTGGCCGTAGTTTGCGACGATTGGTATACAGAGATTTGTCCTATAAAGTTATGTTTTAAGACTGCTCAAAACATTTGTAAACAAATGACAGAATATGTTTAAGCCTTAATGTAGATAAAATACAAACATCCATTTACCACCATTTTAAGCATCATCAGATCGCTTGGTCAAGACTCTGAACACGCCACTTTCTGGTCTCCATTATTAAGCTGTAATTTAAAGCTTAATTCAATATGACACAATAATACAGGTTATACTTCTAGTACAAATATATCACTCCATATTATAAGACAATATAATATGACTGAATAATATGAATTCTTTAGAAAATGACAAAAAGCAACTCAGCCATTTGTCTCTTTTTTCACTTCCAAATGACTAAGATCACGTGATCGACGACGTCCAGGAGATTCCACATTACTCATTCCAAGAAAATATTTATGATAGAGTACAAAACAGTTCCGATCGTTAACACAAAGTGGGACGTCACACTGCAGACAACGGTAAAAAGTGTTCACACGCCACCCCGATCGTGTTCTGTTCTTCAGCCGCCCACAGTACAGACACGGTGTGTACTTCCTGTCTTTGTTGTAAATTGGTACATGTTTTTGCTGTGAAGATCTAATGGTCAAATCCAGTCCCTTCAAAACTTCCGAGGTATCGGCACTTTCGGTAACCTCTGAAGCTTCCACCGGAATTGATATTTTTGGTCTGTTGCGCATCATGTCAAAATACATCGCCTTTGTTTCTGTAGCAATATAAACACATATACTAATAACTGTTTCAAAAAATACCCATATAAATAATAATTGATTGAAAGAACAATTCATAGATGATTTTCAGTAGTTTTTGAGAAAAGTGTACTTACGAAGATCGTGTAACTTATCGATGTATTCGGAGAGCTTACTTCTGCCCGCCGCTGGTTCCTCGCCCGAGGAAGAGGGTCTATCCTCGTCTGATCTGTATGCTGAAAGTATAAAATCTTCACTGAATGACCAGACTCCGGGCCAACTGAGTGACTATGCCGTGTTATATTGCGCTAACAGATGATCAGGGCCAGTCATGCACTGAACAAAAATATACTGGACTGGTTATAGATGCATATGACGGCGAGCACTTATATATTATACGTATGAATTTTTATGAAATGTTGGCGAGAAAACAAGATGTTTCTTTTCGATATTCATTTATTTAAAAAGTACAGACATTTACAAAACAAGCTATCAAAAACATAAAAGAACAAAAGATTGTGCGTAGTAAAAGACACACTAAAGCCTTTTTTCCCATGTCAATAAAAAATTAATAGTACATATTAGTATGAGGTATACAATGGAAAAACACTGCTCACTGTAATATTCTACTCGATTTACGTATTTCTACTTTTTTTTTGTCTAACTTAGTTAAAAAATATTGACAGTCATTTTACTTCTTCGATGAAAATTTGGGCAAATATATATTCATAAAACAGATATATTTTAATCACAGCAATTACTTTAGTATGATAATAAACTCTCTTCACTTGGGTTGCAAATCATAGAGAGTCAAGCTAATTTTAAGAAAGCCAAATTTCTGGAGTGGATGCTTCGATCAAAATACACAACAAAGGTACTACGAGCAAGCTCAGAAAATAAACTTCCCAACTGCAATTTATGTGTCCATTCAAATTTTATAAAACACGAAAATATCGAGTGCTCCACCATTAGAAAACTGCTTGAATTTTACACATGTCATTCCGGTAACCTTGTACTTGAAATGAACCAATTATGAATTTCATATTATTCTCCATTAAAGAGACATAGCCTGGAATTTTTCATAATTTTTTCTATCAGTGTCCTTGACGCTTATCAGAATGACCTTGTGTTGAGGCCAAACACACCCTCGTGTCATAAAAAAAAATCTCTGTTCCAAGTAGGAACTTCCAATTATTCTCCAATATAAAAATAAATCCAGGGTCAGAATTTTATATTTCTGCCAATGACTCTGGACTTGCCGGTATCCTCGGGTCGTAATTTATCTCTGTACCTAGTGTGAGCTTCCGATGGTTCTCTACTGAAAAACCTTAGGCTGGACAAGACTGCACGAATAGGGGACAGACAGTCCAGGTGATACCTATATACCGCCCAAAAACTTTGTTTGTCGGGGGGGGGGGGGGGGGGGGGGGGGGGGGGGCTAGAAAAAATAAATCGGCGAAAAGACGGGTCCACTCCAGAAGGGGGTTTTCATTAATCTCATTGTGAAAGGAAAAAAAATAGACTCGGAATATTCTGAAACAGGCAAGATAATAAATTTAACCTCCGAGATTAATATATCTTATAATCAACCCCACCAGCCCAGCTCCTACCCGAATAATCATAATAAAAACAAAAGACAATCATAAAAACAATACCAGCATTAAACTGGAAATATAGCTGATTTGTAGATGGACAGAAAGATTGATGAGTGATGACTTTCATGACTTTAAAGTTCCTATAAATACTTGATCAGTGGTTACAATTATTTTATACATTTACATTTTCCTGCGCAAGGAAAAAAACATTGTTCAGTTTATACATATATTTTTAAACCTGTTCCTAGTCGAAAATACGACGTGTGGTTAAAATTACCAAACTGTCACTAAACAATATTCAACTAACAACTAGCAAAAAAAAACCCAGCTTAACAAACTGGAATATCTTTAGAAATGAACCAGTGCAATATTTCAAAATACAGGCAACTTCTTTGTTTGTGCACGTTTTACTGGCCCTTGGCTTGTTACATACACATTTTATACCATTTATACTAGTATCTCATTTTTTTCGCCAGTCACCGTCAAAGAATCGGGATGAGACTGCCCTAGCTTAGTTGTTCTTTCCACAACCTAACCTACTGACTCGGCCTGTGGGTAGTCCCTCAATCTGACCAGAGAACAATAACCTGTGATAGATCTTAAAACAATTCCTTTCCCCAATACAAAGAGGAACCGAACACTTGGCACACCGAGACTGGGTCAGGACCACCCACCCCCGTTTGGTTGTAACATTCTGATGTCGACACAAAGCACATCGTTTCTGTTTAAATTCTTCAATCGTCTGCGGGAAGTGCAAAGCCGCCTCTGCGTCAGAAAGTGATACTTTGTCTCTATCTAGTGCTAAAGGTCTTGATTCTGCAGTTTGAGGGGCGGTCCGTTCCACTAAATGAGTGGTTTGGGGTCTCTCCGACTGTTTGACACCTGCCCGGGCCTCTGAAAGGAGAAATAATGTTGCCGTATGCACTAGAAACTAATGGATAAGGGAGCATGAGTGTAAGGTACTCTTACATATTACTTTATATACTCGTATGTTTTTTTCTTTAATTTGTCGTTATGTTTTGAGATAAGACTGGTCCCTTTCTTGCCTTTTGTAACGATGGAACATACCAAAGTACCCTACTCATTAAAAATAAAAAGAAAAGTGTGCAATTGAAACAATTTTATTTTTCAAATACTACAAAAACATGGAAACTGACAAGTAGTTTACAAATACAAAATGTTTTATAGAATGATATCGTAATCATAAGACATGAAACAGGCAAACGGTTAACTAAATATATTGCATGTAATTGGTATCAAAACTTTCTCTGCAAAATATGTAAATTTCTTTGTTTTAAGTGTTCAGGTTGTTCCCCCCGTTGTAACGAAGAATGATACAGGGTAAAACAATTCCGCACTCCTGTGCACAGAGCTACAAGACAGTGTGAACAACGGTTTTGCGTCAACACTTCCCAACCACTACGCGTACGTACTTTCCTGAACTGACAGAGAACACAACGTTTTTGTTTCTTGTCCTCTGTTGGTATAATAGTGTGGAGAGTTTGGTCGTAACCTACACGTGGCGGCACCTCAGACCTAGAGCTTTCCTGTTCACGTCCTGTAAACAGAAAAGCCTTGGATAATGATGCGAACGACAATTTAGAGGAGGGGGCAAAAAATAACATTAAAAAAACAAAAATCACTCGAGTAAATCACCAAAAAGTAATTTTCTTTTTTTTCCCTTTTTTATGATAATGCATACACACATAAAATCTTTTCGAATTACTCAATTTAAGCCTTTACAATATTAAACAGTTTTATAATCTATATCTATAATCTATATCTAGCTGCTTCCATCTTCCTTTTCAAAATCTCGAGCTATATTGAAATACTATAATATGTATATTTATACACATGTATTTTGCTTAAAAAGTGCGAGTAAAGCTACGGCATTCCGAACATCGTTACATGGACGGGGACGGTCAAAGGTTGACTTTTAGGGGGATTTTTATTTCCATGTCACAAAGGTTGGTAGCCGTGCAAGTGCGGGATATAAAAAAAACGTTAAAAGAAGGATTGAATTGATTCTTTCTTAAAACTGCAACGGTTTGTGAACACTTTTTTTACACACGCCGTTACAGTTACTGGATAAAATCAAAAATAAAAATTAATGCTTAAAGGAAACTGGAGTAAAACCAAAGTTAACGTATCTAAGCTTGTTTTTCCGGAGATCTGGGGCCCTTCCTTCCGCCAAGAGAATATGGTATGTTACAAAGCAGTCTTTACAAAGGTTTATTTGACACTGTTTACACTGAAGGCGTGTGATAACATCCCAGCCCGACTTAGTTTTAACGTTCTGATGCTGGCATAATGCACATCTATTCTGCTTCCTACCTTCCACTGATACACATGTATGATCTGCATATTGTAAAGGCAGCTTTTTATCTCCAAATCGGGGTCCTAAAATCAAAAAATTCTCTTTTAAGCAGAACGTTCCAATTGCTCACATCCTTAAAGTACATTAAACTACATTATTCAAATCCGACACTTTCATTGTTCCAGGGAATTAATCGAATACCCCCCCCCCCCCCCGGAAAGGTACTGCAAAATTGTAACAGCCGATTTTCTGGAAATAAAAGTGAACTTTTGACTAGTTTACTACTTATAAAATGGACTAGTGTCCAGCACTGGTACATTGTGAAACGCCTGTTTCCTTTTAGCATACTGTTCATGGAAAGTTCTATAACAGTCCCTTTTACTTTTACACAGCGGAACATCACAGATATTACACTTTTGTCTCGTGTACACGCGCAAGCCTGATTTTGTCTTTACGTCATTTAGTGCACATATAACACAAGCCTGCAGTTTACAGCCCTCGGTTGGGACCAATATGTGGGTCAGATTGTAATTCTCATGGTACACTCTCGCACGGGGAAAGCTATGCAACGATCGGCCATGTTCTATCGTTTCTGAAAGACAAAATATCCAAATTTTAGAACCCTGACCGCATAGCAAACACCAAAGTGTTTATAGATCCCCGAGTTAACATTTCTTACCATGTAAACAGAGTATAATAAAATATGTACAACATATCAATGGAACAAAAAGCAGACCAATAAACAAGGCTTCAAATGTTCTTCGATATGTATTAAAATTCAGCTATCTCAATTCTCAAATACAACAGTTATGAGATTTAAGTCTTCAAGACAAGATCTGCATTCCATAAAGTGTTATCGGTTATAACTTTATAATATCCATTACGCATTTCCATCGGAAGTTTTTAAAAACAGAGCACGATGATACTTGTCAAAGCAATGTCTATCGTTGCAGCACAGAGGAACTCTACAAGTAGAACAGCGTTTCCTAGTGTAACAGTACCAACCAGAAGTGGTTTTAACTTTCTGACTCATACAGAGTACACAAGGCTTGAGTTTACCGTCAGCTTCAGAAATGGCTACATGATATTGGCCTGTAACAGGGTCACGACACCTAGCCACTGCGTTCAGAATGTCAAATTGAGTGGGAGTATACGAAGCAAGTATGGAGTCTGCAGAAGCCGATACAGACTGCGATGGCTGCCCTTGAACCCACCCTGAAAGACAAGAAAACCCAGATATAAAACTTTTCTTTTTTAGTTGTTTTTACTTCTCATCAAATGTTTTCATGACCATAGACTAGCATCTAAATTCATTGATATATAT